CTCCTCCCCCACCACCGCCGCCGCCGCCTCCACCGCCCCCGGTCCTGCCGCCACCCCACCCACCGCCTCCACCCCCACGTCCACCCCCACCACCTCCACCACCCCCGCCGCCTCCACCACCGCTCCCTCCACCGCCACCTCCGCCACCCCTGCCACCCTTGCCGCTCCTGCCACCACCACGCTTCCCACCAGGAGTGGAAGCCGCTGCGACCTTCTCCGCACCGAGGAAGTCGACAGCAGTAGCAGCAGAGGCGTAGGAGGGGTCAAGAGGGGAGGGGGAGCACCCCTCAAAGAGGGGAGTGCGGGGAGTGCCACGAGCAGCACCGACAGCGAGGATGTTCTTCTCTGCTGCGACCAGCTGCTGCTCGAAGTCGTCCAGAGTGATAGTTGGAGGATCCTTGGCAAGGAAGTAATCCCTGACAGAGCGAAGAGTGTCAGGGAGGCGGGTGACGAGGATGTAGAGGGTGAAGTACAGCGGGGGGGTGTTCGTGGCGAGGAACTCGGCGGTAAGAGCGGCTCGAAAGCGGGCGTCACTAGCGCGGAGGTGAGTGATAAGGTCGGCAGCAGTGTGAAACGAGGCTAAGTCTGGGAACAGGTATGGCAGGATGAGACTACCAACGGTGGCTGTGGCCGGGGCGGAATAGCGGGCAACGACAGCATCATACAGCGTCTTGGCAGTCTTAAGCTGGTTGAAATGCGCGCGCTCAGAGATCGGTAGGTGATTGCGAATAACAAGGCGTGCGACTGCGTCGCGGAGCTCCCACTGTGCTCGTTCAGGGGCAGGAGCAGTCTCAGCTGGAGTAGGGACAGTGCCAGTGACATAGGCTAGTAGTGATACTCCGTCTGCGACGTCAGTCATAAGGTAAAGTCGCAGATCACTAAGCCAGGTGTCAAACTCGATGGGGCGGCCGTCAGGCTCAAAAGCGAGAACAGTAAGGGTCGCCATGGTTGCAGCGCAGGCAAAAGTAGCTGGCTCAGGCAGCAGGCTCAGGCAGCAGGCAAAGGCTGCAGGTTCAGGCAGCAGGCAACTGTAGCAGGCAGGTGCGCAAGGCAGACGGTAGAGGCGCAAGGCAGGCAAGAAAAAGACAGGGTAAACCCTAAACCCTGGCGGCAGGTACAGGCGGACGCAATGCACGGGGCAGCAATGCGCTGTACGAGAGGCAATCGCGACGTGCAGGGCCTAGGCGGGCCGCGCACGGACGGTAGGTGCAGCGCGCAGCGCTGGAGTGGGCCGCGCAGGCAGCAAATGCGACGCGCGGGGCGGAAAAGGGGCTGCGCGCGAGCAGCACATGCGACGCGCGGGCTGCAGACGGGCTGCGCGGGGCCTTAGCGGGCTGCGCGAGGCAGGGACGGGCCGCGCGCGAGCTATGCGGGCTCAGGGCGGGCTGCGCGGGCGACGGACGGGGCGCGACGCGGCTGGCAGCAGCAGTGCGCGCTAAAAAAAAAGGCGTGCGCGCGCAGCCGAGGCGCGCGCGGGCAGCAGGCTAGGCAGACCAAAAGGCAAGGCAGGTAGGCAGGCCGTTGGTGAGGTAACTTAGTAACTGGTGGGCCCTTAAACTTAGGTCCTAAGAACCTGCTCTAGATGCCATGTCGAGATAGCTAGGCAAGGTGGTTCGATTGACGAGAGAGTTTGGTACATGACACACAACCCTAAAGTGTTATCCCCTATAACATCTACCCCACTACAGCCTACCAATATATATCACACATATATATCATTTGACAGCACGCGCACATTTATACACATCGCAGGCCTCACAAAGGTGCCACATGGACCGCTGATAAGGGTTTTCCCGAAGAACTCGCAAGCCACACCGAACGACAAATCACCATCCTACGTTACGATCAGAAACTGGTGCCTCGCGGCCGGCAGGCAAGCTGGACTGGATGTCGCGCACATCGGAACCCACTCATTCCGCAAAGGCGCAGCCACGGCGGCGGCAAGCCTCGGAGTTCCTGACCGGCTCTTCAAACGCATGGGCCGATGGCGCAGCGACAGCGCGAAGGAGATGTACGTTACAATCGCGCAGGATCAGCTCATCTCCCTCTCTACGCAATTGCAGGATCCTTCGACGGCTCCCTCGCCCGCTACGCATCAGCTGTCAATCGAACGACACCGCCAGCCCCGACTGCACTTGCCTCAGAAGACCCATATGAAATGATAACGCTGCCTTTGCCAGTCAGCCTAAGTACACTTTCACAATATGATAATTTTTGAAAGTGTAATGAAATGTAACACTTTCTAAAATTTTGTATTGTGAAAAGGGGTACGTGGCCAACACAGCAAAGGTAGCGCCGAAGCGCTACTCACCCTCTTTTGCCTACAAAAGAGGGACGTGGGGACATTCGTCCCCACCCACGTTTTCATTTTCAAAATTGTAGTTCTAATTTCCCACCCGCCCACCCATTGTGTATGCTGTTATGTAGATTTATATAAGACGAGAACGATGTACTACAATCCATATGAAATGATAACGCTGCCTTTGCCCATATGAAATGATAACGCTGCCTTTGCAGCCTAAGTAGACTTTCACAATGGGTGGTGTTGTCAAAGTGCTTTTGATGATATGTGAAGAAGACATGTGCAGTGATGTGTTTTTCATTCGAAGATACCGTAAGTGAACTGTGAAAGGCCAAGCGCTGTCGTTCCGATGCGTGAGGGGACATCTCTGGTTACAGCCGTTCGGTATTTTTCGTGCGTCAGCACTGAAGGGATGTTGTGATGCTGTGGCTGGCTGTAGAGGTTGATGATCTTTGTTGGCCACCCATGCAGCAAAAAGCCCCTCCGTCATACGTGTCTGTGGCCCACATGGGCCATGCTCCAGATACCAATAAACCAGCAACGAATCAGCGGTGGGATAGCCACGTCAAGAACCTATCCAGCGATCGGTTCCGCTGCCTCACGCAGGCAATATCCAACAAACGCCATCCCTGATTCGCTGAGCGATGCACATGCGAAGTGCATGAGCAAAAACGAAGCTGGACGCCCCGCAAGACATTTGGCGAGGGTCGGCTGGGGGCAGTTTTTCTGTGACCCCTCTTTTGACCAGCTCGACTGATCCGAGGGCTGACGATAGGCGATCTTGAGCAATTTACTGGACTGACGTGGCGAGATCTCATTTTCCTTTGCGCGCTGAGCGTATAGTCAGCGCTGAGTGTGCCTCCAGAACACACCATCCCGCGACACGACCCTGACTTCCTCCCAGACCTTCACTCCGAGGCTGGTTCAGCCACTTCCGAGCCGATGGGTTTGTGGTACGGTGCTTCGGAAATCATTATGTTCTGTGTGCTAGCAGCATGGCAGCTGTGATGATCATGAATTCATGCTCCATTCAAGCACAACACGTACACCCCCCAACAAACCCAAGTCAACACGCCAGAGCACGCAGACCGTGAGCGAAGGGGGAGAGAGGGAAGGAGAGGAGAGAGAGGAGGAGGGAAGTCTTTCCACGGGAATCCCCAAGGTATTGCCCTTCGATGCTTGCTTGCCGTGCCTGCAGCTGCCAGAAAGCAAGCCCGCTTGCATGGGTCATCCAGCCTCCACAGAACCTTCTAATCTGCTGCCTGACGTGCCTTCTCGGTCTTGGATCACGCTTAGCGATCCCCCAGTCAGGCCAGACTTCTCGCTGTGCCTCCTCGGGATTGGTCGAGGCAAAGGTGCGTCAAGCACGCTGGCAGGCTTGCGCGGACCACCAAGCCGAGGCGCGCTATAACCACCACCAATTCGACCATGGGACAGGCTCAGGCGGAGGGAGCGAAGTGGTGGTGCTGCTCGGCGGGTGACGCTGCTGCTGTTCCCGTCGTCCCTTTACGCATTGCAGAAGCTGCAGAAGCTGCAAAAGCTGGAGCTGTATTTTGTCATCGTCTACTGGCCAAGGGTGCCTTACGCTGCTGCGTTGGAGAGCTAAGAGCGCTGACGGTGCTTGCAATTCACGGATTTTCACGACATGACGCGTCGTGGCTGCGAAGAGTATACTGGAAAAGCGAACAGCGTTTTCAGACGCAGGCTGCCTCATGCAAGCCGGTAGCCTCCTCCGTCTCAAATTTTCCTACCTGATGTAGGCAAAAGCTCGAAGAATCTCCTGACGCCGTTCCGCGTTCTGCGCGCCGGTCGGCGTCGTACGCAGTCGAGGAACAGGTTCCACGACTTCAACGACCCAGTAATAGGGGACGGAGACGTAGGGCCTGCTTTGAATTGAATTCCTTGGCAGAGCCTTCAGGAGTTACTGTTCTGTTGTTCCGGAGCAGGAAGCCCAGCTTCAAAATCCCAGAAGCCAATGCTAGCAAACAGCTGCTATCCTGGTAGCTCTTACGATTGTGAACGGCTCGCTCTCCGCGTCGAGGTGCTCGCCTTCTTGGATTCCTAAGCTCATGCTTCTAGCTTCCAGAAAGTTATCTTCGCTGGCAAGCGCGTTTCAAGTGGAGCGCGTTCGGTAAACCAGCAGCGCGGGTTGCGGGAGATGGAGGGAGGAAGAAGAGGCGGCGAGGCCGGTGCGTTGGAGACGGAAGAGGTCATGAAACGACTGTCAGTAGAGGCGTTAGCGCTAAGACAGCACGAGGCTGTCGAACGCGCGCCTGGCGCTGATTCCTTCGTACCGACTTTGCCCACCGCTGAAGCCGACGCGAAGGCGATGTGCCCGAAACGCGAGGTGCAACGAAGACTCCTCCAGCAGCAGCCGCGACAGCCGCAGAAGCCGCAGACGCAGCCGCAGCCGCAGCAGCAACAACAGCAGGCGCGATTACCATCGCCTGGAGAGCCTGTTGTTTCAGACGAGAAGGTTACTCTCGCAACTCTTGCTTCAGGCGAAAAAAGGGAAGGCGGAAAAGGGCCTGTCCGTAACGGCGTATCAGTTATTGCTGGCAACGCAGCTGCTGTTACGGCGCCCTCGGTTCTTCCTCACAGGCTCGTCCGCGCGCCGGTCGTCGTCAGCCTAAGCAGCTCCGCGTGTAGTGGAGGCAGTGGCGGCGAGACAAGCAGTGGAGAGATTGAGTCCGTTGCCATGGGCGATAAGGGTGCCCAAGACGATGGTCTTCAACAGGCGCCGACTGCTGCTTACACGGTTCCTCGGGCTACTGCTGCTGATGATTCACTTTCTAAGACTGCTGCTGATGCGGCTGCCGCCGCTGCTGCTGCTGCTGCTGCTGACATCGGGGCTATGGCAATTGACAGCATGGGTTCTGGTTCGGTGATAGGTGGGAGCCTTCACAGGCAGCCTGATGCTGGGGTTGAAGGAGAAGCAGCGTTTCCCGCAGCACAACACGAGGAGCCGGGGGAGCCGGAAGCACAAGCGAGAGCAGTGCGATGTGAGAGCGCCCAGCAGGCAAGTGAAGCCCCGGCAGCAGGTGGTGCTGGAGAGCAGCAGCGTTCGGCTCGACTTCTTCCTCCTGGCGAGCTCCCTACAGCTGCAGCGACTGTGGCAGTGGGAGAATTGGGGGCAGCGAGGTGCAGGGTGCTGGAACGTGGTGATGCTGTTGCCGCTGACAGTGTTGCTGCTGCTGCTGCTGCTGCTGCTGGCACTGGTGGCACTGATGGTGTTGCGGATATGCAAGGGGGTGGTGAATCCGGCTGTGCTGCAGCTGTGGCGAAGCCATCGCACGACGGCATGGTGTGTGCTGTGACGCCGCGGGATCTTGATGGCACCATGGCAGTGGCGGGGTTGCCGAATCCAGTGCCACCCACAACACCTGGAGATGCTTCCGCTGCAAATAGCCCTGTTGCAGCTACTCCTTCTGCAGCTGCCGATGTTGGTGCTGGCACTGCAGCTGCTGATTTTTGCGACCCCAGCAGTGCGTCGCTCCCCTGTCCTCCTGCTGCCGCTGCTGATCCCACCCTGACAGATCCCACCGCTGCAGTGCCTGTCGGCGCCATTCCTTCCACCCTCCCCACTGCCAACGCCACCAATAACCTCAACACCACCAGTGCTGCCACCAACATTGCCGGTGCTGCCAACACCACCGGTACAGCTGGCACTGCTGCAGCGGGGTCCCAGCTACTGCCATTCAACACGGAGCGAGTGGAGAGCGTGTACGCTTTAGCCAGCGAGGAGCTAGGCCGGGGCGAGTTCGGCGTGGTGCGCACGTGCATGCACCGCACCACGGGGCAGCTCTTCGCCTGCAAGTCTTTAGACAAGGCGCGGCTGAAGGAGAGCGCGCGCGTGGAGGACCTGGAGATGGAGCTGTACTGCATGGGCATCATGCCGCGGCACAACAACGTCGTGCAGCTCGCGAGTGTGCATGAGGACGAGCGCGCCGTTCACCTGGTCATGGAGCTGTGCGACGGGGGGGATCTGTTTGAGCTGATAGCCAAGGCGGGGCGGCTGCCCGAGGTGTTTGCGGCGTGGATGTTTCGGCAGGCGGTTGAGGCTGTGGCGTTTTGCCATGAGTACAATATTGCGCACCTGGATATCAAGCCGGAGAATCTGTTGATTCGGACCAGGAGGAACCTGCCTGGGGGGGCGTCGGCGGCGGCGTCGGTGGCTCTTGCGGCCATGGGTGCGGCTCAACAGCAGCAGCAGCAGCAGCAGCAGCAGCAGAAGTAGCAGCAGGAGATGCCAAGTCTGGTCCCTCACAGCTCCACACAATCAGCAGCAGTGGCAGCCGTCGCACCTGCTGCAGCAGCTGCTGCTGTGGGAGCAGCGGCGCCGGCGGGAGCACCAGGTGCAGCATCTGCTGCTACTGTGGCATGTGATACGAAGCCTGCGGTGGCTGAAGCTCCAAGCGAAGAGCCCATTACGGTGCCCGCCACTGTGCCCACCACCCCTCCATCCGCTCCTGTCAATGCCTTGACGGCTGGAATTGCTGCCTCGCTTACTGCCACTGCTGCTGCCACACTTCCAGCGGCCGTCCCCCCTGCTGGCACTGTCAGTGGGGCTCCAACCCATGGCCATGGGGGTACTGCTTCTGCGCCTGCCACCGATGCTCCTGCCACTGGTCCTGCTCTTCCAGCTCCTCCTGATGCTCCTGATGCTCCTACCCCTGCCGCCACTGCCCCCACTGTTGGTGGTGACGTTACGATGAGTACTCCATCGAGTGACCAAGTCCTGCATGCGTCTTCTGCTCCCCTTCATGCTGCTGTGGCCGCCGCTCCTCCTGCTGCTCCTGCTCCTCCACCAGCTGCTGCGGCTGCGCCTGGTGGTGCGGCCACCTCCGAGTCTGCAAAGCTTGCTCTTGCCAACAACAGCAACAGCAAGCACGTGTCACCACTCGCCACCTCTGCTGGCACTACTTCTGGAATGGCGGTCAATCGCGTGAGCAGCGCTGCCACCATTGGCTCTGGCTTCGGTAGTGCCGCTGGTGGAGTATCCACGGGCCTGGGAAGCAGCAGCATCAGCAGGGCCGGTAGCACCGCCGCCGCTGCCACTGCTGCCGCCGCCGCCGCCGCCGCTGCTGCTGTTCCTGGCAGCAGTGGAGGAGGAGGAGGAGGGGGAGGGTGCGGAGGCGCAGTGCCTGCGTGTCTGGCGGGATTGGAGGTGAAGCTGGCGGATTTCGGGCAGGCGGTGGTGCTGTCTCCTGGGAGCACGGCGCGTGGGCTGGCGGGGTCGTCGTTCTACATGGCGCCAGAGGTCGTCAAGGGCCGCCACTATGGATTCTCTGCCGATGTCTGGAGCCTCGGCGTGCTGCTCTATGTCATGCTCGCAGGTGAGATGGGGCGTGTGTGGTGCCGTTGGTGGGGTACAGCGCGGTGCTGGTGGTGCGGGTGCTGCTGTTGGGGGAGGGGTGGGGTGGGTCTGGGGTGCTGGGTGGGTGGTCATTTGTTCCGTCCTAGCTGCGTGTATCTGAGTGCCTGTTCACCATCCCTTCCTCCTGTGCTTCCTGTCCTCCACACATCCCCCACCCTTACCCCCCACCCCCCACCCCTCCACCCGTGAACGCACACCAGGCTACCTGCCATTCTACGGGGAGTCCCTCCGCCACATCTTCCTCACCATCTGCTCGTCCGACCCCGACTTGGCCTCACCGCCCTGGCCCTCGCTCTCCCTGGCCTGCAAGCACCTGCTGCGCTCCATGCTCCACCGCGATCCCCTGCGCCGCCCCTCTGCTCGCCAGCTCCTCTCCCACCCCTGGTTCTCCTGCGCTCTCCTCCCTCTTTCTCCCCCGTCGCTGCCCCGCTGCCTCTCCCCGTTCTCCTCGCCGTCTTCCTATTCCCGCCTCTCCCCACATTCATCTCGCTCCTCTCGCCCCTCGCTCGCCCCGCTTTCGCTGCTCTCGCCCCTCTCGCGCTATTCAATGTCCATGAATCCGCTGGCTACCAGTGCACTGACCAGCAAGCACTTGAATGGACAGCCATCCTCGTCACCACTGCTCATGTCTCTTTTTTCAGGGGTGACTCCCCCGTCTCCTTCCTCCTGCCTCTCGCCCTTCGCTTCCTCCCCCTTCTCAACGTCCCCGTTTTCCTCCTCCCACTTCCCCTCACCACCATTCTCTGCCTCCTCATCCTCCTCCCAATATTCCTCCAGTCTCTCCTCCTCTTTCCCTCACCTCTTCCCACATCTCCAATCCACAGCTCCTTCTACCTCCCCTTCCGCATACCCCTCCTCCTCCTCCGCTGCCGGCCCTCCATCCATGTCCCACGCTTTCCTTCCTAACACCAACGCCCCTCTCGCGCCCTACCAGTCGACTCGCTTCCACCCGAGCTTCCCGCTTTCCACGGGGGCAGCAGCTGCGGCTGCAGCGGCCACGGCTGCTGCAGCTGTGGCGGCGGGGGCGTCACATGCGCCCTTGCGTGGAGTGGATGTGCGCTTGGATGTTGACCCGCTCCTCGCTCGCCACACTGCTGCTGACCTCCCTCGCCTTGCTGCCGACGTACCATTGTTCCGTCCTGTTCCTGCTCCTTCTCCTACTTCTCCTGTTCCTGCTGCTGCTGCTGCTGCCGCTGTTGCTGCTGCTGCTGCTGCTGCTGGTGCTACAGCAGCTACTGCTACTGCTCCTTCGCCTGCTGCTGTGCATGCTCCTTGTACAATCCCCACCGCCGTTGGTGTTGTGGCTGCTCCAGTTGCAACTGCTCCATCTGGACCATCAGCCGCCGCGGCAGCACCTGAAAGTACCCATCTTGCAACAACTGCTGCCAATGGTACTACTTGTGCCATTGCTGCTGCCAGTGCTGCTGGGCAGGTGGATGTTGCTGGTAAGACGGATGCGATCTCCCCTTCCTCTTCTTCTACTCCTCCTCCTGCTGCTCCTGCTGCTGCGCCAGCTCCAAGTGACCCTGAGGCACGGCTTCTCTCCTCTGTGCTCCTCGAAACTGCTCAGCAGCTTCCTGCTCTGGTGAACAGGGAGGATGGGACGTGGCAGGGGGGGTTGAAGGAGGGGAAGGAGGCGAACGAGGGGAAGTGGGACGATGCATACGGTCTGCTCAGTGGTGCTGACGTGGCTGATGCGAATGCTTTCGTGGATGGGTGTGGGATGAAGTATAGCATGAGTGGGTATCTCGACGCTGTTCTTGATGCAGCAGCTGGTGGTGATGGCCTGAACGGGGATGGAGAATCAGATGGAGGGGTTGGTGCTGGAGGGAAGGTTGATAGGCCGACTTGCGTGGGTGCAGCAGGTGCGGGAGGGTGCGCTGATGCTGCTGCAGGTGGGTCTGATGGTGCTAGTGGTTCTGGGTCCATACAATGTGCTTCTCCTGTATGGACTGCCATGGGCGGATTGGATGTTCTGGATGCGCATCACCAGCAGCAGCAGGAGACGCCGGAGCATCAGTGTTACCAGCAGCAGAAGCAACAGGAGCAGGAGAAGCAGAGGGAGAGCGGTGACGGTGGTGATGTGTTGTTGACTCGTCGTGCCGTGAGTCCACACATTCATGACCCCACACGCTTCACCGTGCAAGGTACTTTCATGGCAGCTTCCTGCAACGCCGCTACAGCAGCTGTAGATTCCACCAGTGCACGTGGCGTTGGCTTCGCAAGTCATAATTCTCCTGCGGCTCCTGGCACTGCAGTTGATGCGTTAACTGGCTGTGCTGGAGCCACCGCCTCCGTTGCTGCCGCCACTGGTGCTGCTGTTGCTGCTGGTGCTGTTGCTGCTGGTGCTGTTGCTGCTGCAGATTGCGTTGCCATGGATGTGGGTATGGGGGGAGCTGCTGCTGGTGCTGGCCTGGTGAGCCCGAAGAGAAAGGCAGAGGCGGAGGCAGAGGGGGAGGGAGATGAGGAGGGAGAAGAGGCGCAGGAGGAGGGGGAGGGGCGGGGAGATGTGCGGGAGGCAGAGGCTTGGTCTGGTTTGGGCATGTGTGCTGTTCCTGCTGATAGTACAGAGCAGCATGCTTGGGTTGAAAGCAGGCAGTGCAGCTTCAGTGTGGGAACGACTAGTGCTGCACCTGCCAGTGCAGGCAATAGTGGTGGCAGTGGCGGTGCTGGCAGCGAAGCCGCTGCTGCTGGTTACAGTGTTGCAGTTGCATCGTATGGTACTGCCAGTAGGAGCACTGCAACAGCAGCAGCAGCCGCAGCAGCAGCAGCGGCCGCAACAGAATCAGTTGCAGGAGCAGAAGCAGCAGAGGATGACGTGGAGATATCCCTGGAGATTGCCGAGGCTCTCAACCACGCAATGGATGAAGAAGAAGCAGAGCAGCAGCACGGCCCTGACCCTCACCTGGGGTGCACTCTCTCCCAGGACCTCTCACACGCACTGGAGCAGGACGAGCTCGCGCACGCTCTCACACAGGAACTAGCCCATGCGCTCGACCACGGGGCTGATGATGATGCCTGGGCCGAAGGCCAAGGGTGGGAGGTTCCTAGGGCGGAGGGTGATGTGGATGGGTCAATTGGGGATTTGGCCGATTTGGGAGAAGGTATGGAGCTAGAAGACTTGGATACTGCTGAAGCTGCTGCTGCTGCTGCTGCTGCAGATGAAGCTGCGGAAGTTGGTACCTCCGCACTGGGCCGCAGAGGTGGGAGACGGCTGGGGACTGGTAGGATGGGAAGAGAGAAGTGCGGAGCGGCAGGAGCAGCTGATGGAGCGGCTGTAACAGTTGGCGCAGCAGCTGCAAATCAGGCAGCTGGAGGGATTGTTGGGAGTCAAAGCCAGAAGGGGCGGAGGGGAGGGTCAGGAAGAGCCACGGGAGGTGCGTGTGAGGTGGCGGTGGTGTCCCAGCCTCTGCTGCCCCACCGTGCTATGGCATGTCATGACGGGTGCTCCCCTGTTCCGGTGGTGGTGGCTGGGGAAGGCGACAGGCTTGGCACTTGGGGAAGGCGGAGAGTAAGAGCTGGCTCTCGTGCTGCGAATAATACTGCTGCTGGTGCTGGAACTGGTGCTGCGACTGGTGGTGAGAGGAGCAGCAGCAGCAGCAACTGCGGCAGTGAGAGTGGCAATCTGCACACGCACGAGCAGCGCCTGCAGTGGCCACGGCAGCAGCAGCAGCAGCAGCAGCAGCAGCAGCAGAACCAGCATGAGAGGAGGCGGCGCAGGAGGAAATACAGCCGTGACGACCTCCCTCCTGTCTCAACAGCCGCCACTCCTCCTATCGACACCAACAGCCCACCCCGTTTACACAACCCGAATCTCAAAGTTTCACCCGCCCATCTCACCTCCTCCACAAAAACTCCTCACGCATACTCACCGGCCCCTACCTGTTCCGCGCGCGCTTCCCCTGCTGGCGCTGCAGCCACCACAGCCCGCCATGCTCATCTGGACAGCGGCCTTCTGGACGTGCCTGTGATGGAGTGCGATGAGCCGCGCTCCTGGCCACACCTCTGCCACCTGCCCCCTCTGCACGCGCACCGCGGCTGTCACTCCCCTGCAAACCAGCAGACCCCGCAGTTCCAGCTGCCAAGAGTGGAGCAGCAGCAGCAGCAGCAGCAGCAGCGAGAAGGGGTTCCTATTCTAGTCTCTCCACCTGCAAAGTCCCGAGCAGCAAGCAGCACGGTGAAGCACACAGCAGCAGGCGTGGTGCATCTCCTCTCACTGCCCTCCCTCTCAGCCCTCACTGCTTCCTCTGGAAGGGCAGGTATGGCAGCAGCGGCAGCAGCAACAGCAGCAGCAGCAGCGGCTATTGCCAGGGCAGGGCCGCCTGTCCCTGCTGCTGCTCACGCTCATGCGTACGCCCAGCCTCATGCTACTGATGCTGCTGTTCTGCCGCGTCCCCGTGCTGCTGTGCCTGCTTCTGCTGCTGCTTCTAGTTCCGCCGCTGCTGCTGCTGCTGCTGCTGCTGGGAGAGTGTCTCCCCTGCATGCGCGCCGCCCTCCAATGCTAGTGATCCCACGGTCCGACTCAGACTGTTGCCAGGAGGCAGGTGTAGTGCAGGGGATTCAGGGAGTGAACACACGGGGGCAGCAGCAAGGGGGCAGCGGGGAAGCAGCCGCTTCGCTGAACGGGGGAAAGGGACCGGGAGTGGGAAAAGGCATGGGAGGAGCAGCTGGGTTCCCAGGAGGGGGTGTCCTCAGGTCGCTCAATCCCCACTACATGGATGGTTCACCTCCCGTGCTTCCTCCCCACAACCCAGTAGGGGTTCTTCTGTGTCCCTCCATCTCCCCGTCCCCTTCCTGCTCCCCCGGTTCCCCGTCGCTCCCTTCCCCATGGCCTGCCACTGCTTCCTCTGCTTGCCCGTCCGCCTCTGCTGCTGCTGCTGGTGCTGGTGCTACGTCAATGTCGACCCACTCGGCAACTGGAGCAGCAAGGGGGAGTGGCGGGTGGAAAGTGCCGAGGAAGGAGGGGGAAATTGAAAAGGAATGGATGGAAGAGGAAGGGGTGAGAGAGGGAGGAGAGCAGGGCGAGGGGTTGGGAGAGCTTAGTGCAGTGGAGGATGCAAGCATGGGTGACTTGGGTTATGAGCACTTGGGGGAACTCATGGGCGGCCGGGATGATGTTGCTGGCCTGAGCATGGGCATGTGCGTGGGCATGGGCATGGGTGGGCAGTTCAGTATGGTTGCAGGTATGAATGGTATGGCACCAGATGAGAGGATGAATGGTGTGTTTGCAACGAGGGTTGATTCTCGCATGGTGGGCGTGGGCGTGGGGGTGGTGGGTGTGGGAGATGGAGGAGGGAGCGGGGGTGAGAGCACTGAGGGGAGTGGTGGGGGAATGGAGTGTGTGGATGGTATGGGAATGGCGACAGACGTGGACATGGACATGAGCATGATGGAGATGATTGGCGTGGCCGAGGGGTGAGAGCGAGAGAGAGAGAGAGAGAGAGAGAGAGAGAGAGAGAGAGAGAGAGAGAGAGAGAGAGAGAGGGAGAGAGAGAGAGAGAGTACATGAGAGAGAGAGTGAGGGAGAGTATGCAGTGATGCAGTCAACGGATGGCTGAGTGAATCGGTGGGGCTAGGGAGCTGGGGTGGCTGGAGAGGGATGGGGGTGGGGTGGAGGTGGTGGGTGTGTGCCTCTGTTTTTCCTGCTCTGTTGTGCCAGTGTAGGTGCAGTGCAGGTGCAGTGCTTTGCAGGCAGGCGCTGCTGTGCAGAGTGCAAATGGAGCCCAGGGAGGGAGGTCTGGGGAGGCCTTTCCACCTTGCTACAGCAGGTCTTGGAAGTCACCGAGATCATGTATTTTTGCTTGGAAGAGGGTGTTGGGTGGGGAAGGTGTGGAGGCATTGAGCAGAAGCTGTGGCTTGCAGCTTCTGGTGTTGTGCTCTTGCAACTTCATAATACCATGTTATGTACAGTAAGGATTAGAGGGTGCTTTTCCCCCCCCAGGTTGCTTGCTTGGGCCTGCCCCTCACCACTTGTGCTAGTATATGCTACAGACCATTCTGGTGTATGTACGTTACCTGTAATATGCATGTATAGTTCCCTAAAAAAACTGTTGCCAACTCTAGTACCGTACTAAAACCTAGGTACCATTGTCCACCTCCTTATCTCCCTGCGGTGAGAAGCATTGATGGCTTCAAAGGGATGCTGAATTCAAGTGCACACAGGTAAGTGAAATATTGAAATTAGCAGGCACATCTGTTCCAAGTCTACACATGAACAATCCTGCCCCAGTAGAGCTCCTTCTCACTGCCTGTGCACCAAAACTGCACCCAAGTCAGGCAAGTGAAAATCTCGTTATAGGTAGCTCTCACAGAGCTGTAACAAGCTGGGAAACTCGAATTTTGTACACAAACAATTCAGTGCAGCAGCACGCCAAATCCAACACCACACCAATCACGCCCTACACTGCACCACCCCACACCCACCCAGCTCGCCTTACAGGGCCACACATTTTACGCCAAAGCCCAGCCATGAGCCAAACCAGGCGTGCACCCATGTTCCCAACCCCTCGCACGCTTCGCTCGGGGCACCACCAATTACGCGGAGGGCGGCCCGACGATGGCAACCATGTACACGAAGAGCCCCACGATCACGCCGAATCCCGCGTACGTGAACCGTTGATCCGTCCACACGCGCAGCACGCGCTTCTCCGTGACCTTGAGCGGATCTACCTCCTCCGACAACGGATAGTCCGCGCGCTGCGGCTGCCGCGACACGTACTGCTCCATGTGCGCGAACAGCCCGCCCATGGGCGGGGGCGACGGCGGGGAAGGCGCGGACGACGCCCGCGCGCCGCTGCTGCTGACGCTGCTGGGCTGTTGCTGCTGCTGCTGCCGCAGGCGTTGCGAGGGCGAAGCGCCGGCCTTCTTGTACGCCGCCCACGCGTTGTCCCAGTCGGATGGCGGCTTCCACGCGTCTGACGCGCGCGCGCGGGGGAAACGGGGGAAGCGGGGAAAGCGCGGGAAGTGGGGGACGTGTGGGGAATGGGGAAAAGTGAGTACGGGGACGTGTAGGATGTGGAGGAAGCGTGGCGTGGAACCGAATTGGCTGGAGAATGGGCGAACTGAGCAGGGAATTAGTCGATTGAGTAGGCTTCATTCGCGGCGTCACTCACCCTGTCCGCTGCCCTCGTTGCGGCCTTCGTTTCCGCCGCCCTGCGCGCGCACCGCAACCCGGCGAACAGGCAGCGACGGCATCGCGACGCACCCACTCGCAGTCGACAGCGGCGAGGAGAGCGCTGCGAGCGAGCCGAGCGCATTGAGCGACGCAGCGGAGGTTGCGGTGGCCGACGCCATGGCGCGAAGCGAGGTGACTTGGTAGGGAGAGGCAGGAAAATGGGCTATTCTGATATTCTCCCGGAAGATAGGGAAAAACAAGGGGAGCAGGGGAAGGCGGGCAGGGAGGAAAGATATGGAGGGATCTGACCGCTTCGCTGGCTATGGAGCCTGGGCAGGAGAGGAACGGGAGCCAACGGTTGCTGCCTGGCAACGTAGAGTCGATGAATTAGGCAAGCGTAGTGCCGATGGGTGGGGCACTAGTACGTGGAATAGTGGGAATGAGCTGAGGAGGCGGTGTGGATTTTTCGTGGTTTGGGTGCTTGGCTGGAAGGAGAAGTGCAGGTGAGGTGAACCTTGAAGGTTGCATTGGTGAAGTGAACAAATGCGAAAGGATGGAGTGGCGAAGCACAAGGAGAGATGGCGGAGTGAGGAGTGATTTGGGGTGGTGGCGATGCGGCGAGTGGATGTTTTGAAAGGCAGGTTGGGTGGAAGGTATGACAAGGGATGCACTCCGGTTCGAAAATCGGTAACAGATGAACGGGGAGCATGGAGTGAGGGTTGGAACTTGGAAAGTTTGGGCTGCCCTGAGTCTGCCCGCATGGTTGGGAGATGTTCATGTGAGTGGTCCAGGCTGCACGCTGTCTCCTGAAGGAGGAAGAGGCCAATCGCGCATTGGATGAATGACTCCGAGATCGGGTAGGCTGACCTGGCTAGGTGTGTGACTTGCGGCTGGTGTGGGCGAAAAGGAGTTTCGCTGGGGCGGGAAACACAACTACTGGTAGGTCGAGGTTCCTTGAACCCACCACGTGGCAGTGCATGAACAGATTCATTCGGCCAGAATCCACCCCACTCAAATTGGAACAAAAACAGGTACCACATATATGTAGCGTACCACCAGCATGTGTTTCTAAATCGAATGATCGTTTTTTCGCATGTAGTAAGATCTAAAACGGGGATTGGTATAGGTAGATTTTTTTCGTAACACCCCAATCTGCAGGGTGATTATGGCAAGCACTCACAAGTTTCACCAGAGCAGAATGGATTCGCGGGTAGCTCATCCAGAGCCGAAGGGCCCAGCGAAACTCATCCAGAGCCGAAGGGCCCAGCGAAACAAGTCATTGTCCCTGTCTCCTGAGATGGAAACAACAAGGGATGGTGGGTAGTTTGACATCCACCGCGACTGCCTTCTCGTTGATTGGTCTTTCACAAATTCAGAGATCAGCATGAATATTTTCTTGTATTTGGATTGGTGATAGGAGCCAGATGCGATTTGCACCACTCACTGCCAGTCGATCATCAAAGTCAATTTGGGTTACCCCTTCTTAGACAACTTTCAGTAGTCCAGTAAATTAAATGACATGTTTTAGTGATCGACTGGCAGGGGAACAGAGGTAACTGCTGAGTTGATTTTGTATTTCGACGTTACAGTTTTGTATAAACAGTACAATAACCCGACAACCTCAACGGGTTGTGCGCCCGTTCTTGTTTCGCAACGTGCCCAGATTGTTTCGTCCCCTTGGTCGCCTCACCTCGCCTCCTCCCCTACTGTTCGGTCCAAATCGCTGCCCGGGCAGCGTCAAGCTTCTTCTCAGGTATATGTACACGCACACTTGGAAGTCATATGAATTATCCGCAGCAGCCCCAGAACAATCGTTCGATGTACACTTCTTGCATGCCATCGACCCAGGCGCAAAAAAACGGGTAAGTAGCTTTGGCAGGGGTACTACTAGCGACCCTGCGCTTTGAAGGGGACTACAGTGCCAGTAGCGGGCACTTTCCACCCATCCGTGCCTCAGACAGGAAAGTTATGGAAACAAGACAGTAATCTTCACCACATTCACCTACGTGTCACCATAATCCTTATCGAATTCACACTTTGGGTGGTTGGCTGCCACACTGTTCCGCAATCTGATATGCTATTGTTTCGCGCCCTAAATTTCGGAACACAGGCCCCGTCAGCAGGCAGTGCAATGAATCAGCGGGCAAGTAAAAAAAATAAACCCCACATAGAAGGCATGCAATTCGGGAGCCTCAACTAGGGTTGAGGCTCCCGAATGGCATGCAGTCTGAATAGGGTTTATATTTTTCAATTCGGGAGGCATCAACTCTTAAATTTTAGGGTTGAGGCTCCCGAATGGCATGCAGTCCGACTGGGGTTTATATTTTTTGCCCGCGGTCAGATTGGCCTCGATTTGGCAGAAGGGACAAAATTCAGTTGCGCACAGTTGGTCAGGTTGTTCTGTACAGTAGTTGGCTTGGAAATTGGTGACACGTGGATGAATGTGGTGAAGATTACTGTCTTGTTTCCATAACTTTCCTGTCTGAGGCACGGATGGGTGGAAAGTGCCCGCTACTGGCACTGTAGTCCCCTTCGAAGCGCAGGGTCGCTAGTAGTACCCCTGCCAAAGCAACTCTCCCCAAAAAAACGTTTGCCACGCTAAACCAACGCCTCCTTGCCCATTATTGCGCACATGCACAGAACACCGAACCACCACTTTCCACGACGGCCACCTTCCCGCGTCTCATCTCAAGAGGAAATAGTACAGTACAACATAGGGCAGGTGTGGATTACCCAGAAACCCCAGGAAGAAATATAATCATTTGAACCGTGATACAACCCACAGCACCGCAGGAAAAGTAGGAATCGCATCGCACTCCGCTGGCAAAGGAAGGAAGGGTGTCCACAAAATGCAACTTTGTCCCAACCCAACCCAACCGAGCAAACCCAGCCAAGTCTTTCTGCAACTCCAGCGCAGCATGCGCTCCAACCCGGGGTGCACAGAATCTGACCAACCCACCCTGTCAGCCACCTGACCTCACTAGTACCATACCATCTATCTGCCATTGCCAGGAAACCTGAACCAACTATCTAGCTTCCATATTATGATCTCTACTTGATCCTCTAGTCGATGTAGAAGCACTGTAAGCGGCTCCTGGATTACCATCACCGTTAAAAATGATCTCTTACCTTCGCCTACCAGCGAGCCGCTGAAATCCCTCACGCATTTACGCTTCAGTACTGACGCCCGGGTGGTATCGCACGGACCGCAAACAGGCGTCCATGTCGTCTTCCTTATCCGTCGCGCATTCCCTGTCGTCGTCGCAATTAGCAGCAGCATCAGGAGACGGCCCAACGGCTCGAGACTACACTAACCGCACCGCATCCGCAATGTCCGCGTCGCCTCTCCGTCCTAGAACCCCGTTTCGCGGGCAAAACACCCCCTCGCAGATATCCCAGTCCTTCGACATCCCCAACTCCCCGTCCTCCCCCGCCATTCCCCCGCCTACCCCCGATGACGCCGCGCGCCGCCTCGCCATCCGCCTGCTCATGGGGACGAAGCCTTCCGCCGAGTGCCTCTCGCCGTCGCGCACCCCTCGGGGGGGCGGGGGCGGAAGGAGCGAGAGTGGCGGCGAGCGGGCGCACTGTCGCAGCTTCTCGATGAAGGAGCGGCGCGGTGGAGGAGACGACTGGTCGGCGCGGATTGCGGCGGATATCGCGGGTGAGAGCCCGAGGGGAAGAGTCGGGGCGAGACCTCCGACGGCTGAGGGGAGCTGGCGGCTGATGAGCGCGCGCGGAGGGATGCGGGGAAAGAGCAGTACGGATCTGGCGGAGTACGCGCGGACGCGGGGGGACGGCGCGGCGGAAGCGGCGGCGTCGGGAGGCGAAGAGGACTCGGCAGACGACTCGGAGATGGATGAATGGGGGAGAGAAGGGGGGATGGGGGCGCACGGAGAGGGAGAGGATGGGGAAGAGGACGACGAGGGAGAGGAGGAGGACGAGGATGACGAAGAGCCGGAGACGCTTTGGCGACGAAACAGCAGCAGCAGCACCCGACTGAACAGCAGCGCCGGAGGCGGCGGGGGCGGCGGAGGCGGCGGGAGCGGCGGAGACGGCGGAGGTGGCGGGGACGACTGGGACGGTGGAGAGGTGACAATCAGAGTGGGGTCCAAGTGGTTTCCCATTTCCACGTTAGCGTCGGTTGCGCCGTCGCAGTCGCAGTCGCAGGCGCCGTCGCCGTCGCCTGCCGTCGCGGGCAGCTTCCACGATCGCGTGCACCTGGCGGAGGAACGACACCGGCAGCTGCAGCTGCAGCACCAGCAACAGCAACAGCAACAGGAGAAGAAGCAGCGAGAGCAGCAGCAGCAGCAGCAGCAGGAGGAGGAGGAAAAGCAGAAGAAAGCAGACATAAGCAGGGTGCGCTCCTTCCTCGAAACTCTTCAGCGACCGAAAACTGCGCCGGCCTCTCCGGGAGCAGATGCTGCCGTCAATGGCGGTAGCACCTTCAGAAGCAAATCCTACCAGCAGAGTAACCTGAGCCACCGGCAGGACCTCGGCGGCTCGAACAGGCACGGCGGTAGCAGCATTATGCGCCTCGAGAGCGACACGTCGGACGACGGCGGCGCTGACATGTCGGAGCGGATGGACAGCAGCAGCACAGACGCCGCCGGCCGTCGCGGCGGATCGAACAGCAGCGGCAGCAGCAGCGACGGCAGCCCGCACTCGGCGGCGGCGACGACGGAGGAGGTGTGGGTGCTGTCGAAGCAGGTCGCGGTGCTACAGCAGCAACTGGCCGACGCTTCCGCCGCTAACTGCGAGCTGCTAGGTAAGGATGAACGGAGCTCGCGCACGCGAGGATAGTTACGGTTACGCGAGTGTTTCTGGTAACTCGAAGGGTATTTTTAAGAAGTTCACTAATCTGCCGCCTTTCCCGCGTGTTCCCTTTTCGCCTGCGTACTGTAGATCGAGTGGAGCACAAGTCGCAGGCTCTAGCGGAGGCCGAGGCGCGTCTTAAGGACATGCAACAGTCGCTGCGCGGAATGGAAGCCGCGGCTCGGGACGTGGAGGCCAAGCTGCGCGACGCGCGCGCGGAGGTGCACGAGCTGCGGGAGGCGCAGGCGGAGCGCGACGCGGCCTGCGCGGAGCGCGACGCGATGGCAGCGGAGATGGAGGCGGCGCTGAGCTCGTGGTCGCGCGCGCTGGAGGAGGCGAAGGACGCGCGCGACGAGGTGCGAGAGGCGGCGGAGGCGGCGGCCGCGGCGCGGCAGAAACTGGCGGAGGCGGAAGCGGAGAATAAGAGGCTGTGGCAGGTGATGGACCTGCTGATGGCGCAGCAGAAGGCGCGCGGAGGGGGCGGCGGGGGTGGAGGCGGAGCAGGAGTTGGGGGCGGAGCAGGCGGAAAGGCATTCCTTGATGCACTAGCTAGGCAGGAAGGGGGGAGCGGAAGCGGCAGCAGAGGGTTTAATGGAGGGGGAGGGGGGACGGGGATGGGGGGCGCGAGTGGCGGAGGTATGAGCGCTGCTGGGCTGCGGTCAGTACTAGAGTCCCTGCGCGCTGCCTCTAGTACCGACTCCCACCGCTCCTCACCCACTCGCTCCTCCGCTGCTGATGGCTACTCTCGCCCCGCGACTGCTGCTGCTGCGGCTTCTGCCTTGGCTGCTGCGGGTTCGGCTGCTAGGGCTGCCGCTGCTGCTGCTTCTGCTGCTGGCGGTGGTGGCGGTAGTGGCGGTGTTGGTGGTGGGCGTGCCACGGGTGGTGGGGGGGTTTCTATAGACGTGCAGCAGCAGCTGCAGGCGCTGCTGCTGCAACGGCAGCAGCGGCAACAGAAGCAGCAGCAGCAGCAGCAGCAGATGCAGCAGCAGCAGCAGCAGCAGCAGCAGGGGGAGGAGCAATATTATCTGATGAACAACCAGCAGCAGCAGGATTGCCAGCAGCAGGAGCAACAGCAGCAGCACCAGGAGTACCAGCAGCAGCATTGGCACGAAGAGAACGCGTACACTGGCAGCAGCAGCTGCAACAGCAGCAGGCCCAACAAGCCAAGCACTACACCTAGGCTGTCGTCCCTCCCCACGCATGCTTACCCGGCAGGAGCAGCACCAGGGGACTCAGTGGTGAGAGGCAGGTATGCGTCTGTGCGCGTGTCAGTAGCAGGACCAACAGCAGCAGCAGCAGGAGCAGCAGGAGCAGGAGGAGAAGTCAGGGGTGTTTGTGGTGCGCCGGCAGTGGGACGCAGCAACAGCGCCGGCATTGCCGGCAGTGTTGCTGGCGGCTTTGGTGGCAGCAGAATTGCTCGGCAGCAGGTGCAGCAGCGAGGTGCGGTGAGACTGGGGTATGGGGAGAGCAGCGCAGCAGCAGCGGTGGTGCCAGATGCCATGCGTGTGGCTGGGCTTGAGAAGGGCATGTTCTGTGCCTGCTAGCACACCCCGCACCCCGCACCCCGCATGCGAACGAACGCACCCCAGCAGCGTTGGTTCGATCACAGGTGCAGTTGCATTGTTGACTGGCTACAGTGCAGTCTGTCTGTATCTTGCTGCTGCTGCTGTGGTGCAAGCTCAGCCAGCCCAAGCCAAGACTCTGCACGAGCAATGGAACGGTGGAGGTTGGATGAAAGCAACCGCTTGTGGGTTCCTCACAGGTGGAGGGATGGAAGGGCGGACAGACCCTATACTCAGTTACTACTACATACGCTAGGTGGTAGCAAATAGATGTTGGTCAAGAGTATCGGTAGTACCAGTGCGTTGGAAGGTCTGGTAGGTGGACAGGGTTGTGTAGAAACGATAAGCCACTGTATGCAAGATAGTGATATAAGTATAAAGTTAATGGACAGGATTTGGTAGGATGTAATGTAACTGCCTGCCAAGATATCCTAGCAGTTTTTGCGGAATGGATCTTCGTAGGTAATTACCGTATATATTGGACTTGCATGGAGGGGAGGGAGACTCTGAAACCTGTACATTGGAAAGGGCAGCACTACAGCTCCTGAATCAAAGAGAGTGAGAGCAAGAGGGAGGAGAGAGAGGAGAGCCGAGTGGGCTATCAGGGAAGCTACAGCATCACGCACATGCCTGATAGTAACCTACTATTCTCCCAAGCTCCATTTTCCGACCTGTCACCGCCCCCTTCGATTCCGTCCATCCAACCCAGTATCCCCAATCATCCACCACTCCCTCATCCCCCCACCCCACCTCTGCCACTCCACACGCCTGCACGGCAAGTGCGCTACTGCTGCTGCTGCTGCTGCTGCTGCTGCTGCTGCTGCTGCTGGGCGCGGAGGAACTGGGTGAGGCGGGCTTTAAAGAGCGCGGGCACGCGTGTGGGGCGGTATGCCTTGTCCAGAAACACCACCGTCGCCTGCCCCTGTAGCACCCGCTGCTCTCCCAGCAAGGGGAGGTGCGGGAGGGAAGGGGGAGTGGGAGGGGACGGGAGAGACGGCTTGAGGCGACTGGGAAGGGTTTGAAGCGGTATGCCTTGCCTAGGATCAACACTGTAGCCTGCCATTGCCGCACACGCTGCTCCCAGCAAAGCGTGCAGTGGAAGAGGAGAAGAGTGGTGTGGGAGGAGGGGGAGAGTGGGAGGTGGGGATAGTGGAGGTGGGGAAAGTGGGAGGTGGGAAGCGATGCTACAAGTTTTGAGTCTACTTAGAACCTGCCACTGCAGAACACTTGCTGCGGGCAGCTAGCGTGCATTGGAACAGGAGAGGTGGGGAAAGGGGGAGTGGGGGGTGGGGGAGAGACTGCTTGAAGCGAGTGGGAAGGGATAACGGGTGAGATGGGGGACAGAAGGTTGTGCGATGGGAAGCGGGTGGGGATGTGGGCAACGGAAGGTGTTGATACTGGGATGGTTGTGGGATGGTGGTGGGATGTCGAGATGATTGGAAGGTGGCACAATGGGATGGTGGGAATGGGGGGATTATTGGAGGGATGCCGGGCTGCAGTCCATTGAATACCCACCTCTTTATCCGGCAGTCTGTAGATGGTGTGCTCTATGAACACTCGCGCTGCTGTTGTGCCCGACACCCGCGCCGTCACCACAAACTCATCGCCACTCTGGGCGAGGGGAGGAGGCACGGGGGATAGGAGGAAAGAAAGGATGGGGAGATGGGGGGCACGGGGCGGGGAAACGAGAGGATGGAGCAAGCGCAGCGGAGCATATGTTGGAGGGGAGTGGGTGGGGAACAGCCGCGTTTGCTCCATCCACTCCCCTGGAGGTAGCGCAGTGATGCCTGGCGCTGGAACAGCAAGTACAGGAAGGTCGACTTGTGCAAGATGAAGCACTCATAATGTGCCATCGCCTTGCCAGTAGCAATTTCACCAGCAGCGGCAGACAAGACACCCTGTGAGCACCCCATCCCCTCCTCCCGCTTTGCGACTCACGCGCGGCGCGTTGAGGTACTCGAGGGGGGAGGAGCTCAGCAAGGGTGAGGGCTCAGCTCCCTGCTCTGCTCGCACACCCCGCGTCCCCCTCTGCCCCCCCCACACACGTTCCCATCCCCCCCTTCCCACTGCGACTCACGCGCAGCGCGTTGAGGTACTTGAGGGAGAGCTCGGCGAGGGCGAGTGCGTCCCCTGTGCGCGCCACCTCGTCCGCCGCCAGCCCTATGGACGCCAGGAACTCGTGCCGCGCTGCCATGCACTCACAGTGGCGGTGGTGGTGGTGTGGTGGTGGGATGAGAGGGGTGGGAGGAGGTGGGTAGGACGAGAGGGGGAGACGTGAGATGGAGGAGAGGGAGAGCAATGAGCGGTGCTGGCATGGCATGGCAAGGCATGGCAGAAAGGTACTAGCAGACGAGCATTCTTCAAGGCGAGAGTGAATCCAGAGCCGACAGGTGGGACACATGCAGCAGGTGGGGGCATGGGACGAGTACCCGCGGGGGCGGAGGGCCGGGGGGGCGGGGGGGGGGGGGGCGGGGGCGGGGGCGGGGGCGGGGGCGGGGGGAGGGGGTGCGGGGGTCTCACCGTGCTGGCAGTAGCTGGCGTAGGTGGCGTTGTTGACGACGCGGTACTGGTCCAACTCGTAGTCGCGCACCTTCATCGCCACCTCGTACGGCTCCCGCATCCTGCGAGCAGCACACGCACCGGCAGAGTCGCGTTACAGGTCACAGGGTAAGGGGTAAGACACAGGGGAGAATGGGGAGGCAGGCGAGTGAGTAGGTAGGTGGGAGGTGGGGTGGGAGGGGAGAGCGGGGAGAAGGCAGAGAATGGGAGAGAGAGAGAGGCACTTGAGGCGTTGTGGTTCGGCTGCTCCTTCCTCTCCGTGCATCACATTCTCTTCCATCCCACCACTGCATCCCTCGACTCCCTCATCCCTCACTCCCTCCCTCCCCCGCTCCCTCGCTCCCTCGACTCCTCGCTCGCTCCCTCCCCCCCCCCCCCCTCCCTCCCTCCCTCCCTCCCTCCCTCCCTCCCTCCCTCCCTCCCTCCCTCCCTCCCTCCCTCCCTCCCTCCCTCCCTCCCTCCCTCCCTCCCTCCCTCCCTCCCTCCCTCCCTCCCTCCCTCCCTCCCTCCCTCCCTCCCTCCCTCACTCCCCAACTTACTCACTCACTCACTCACTCACTCACTCACTCCAGACTGCCGAAGAGCTTCGCGACTTGGAGATCGATTCCCCCGTCGGCCCCATCCCCGCCCTCCGCCCTCACTGCCACGCGCGCTGGTCTACACCCCCCGCCAATGCCGCGGAATGCCGCTGCGGAGCCTCGCGGAAAGCGGAGTTCCGCCGGCGATCTGCGGGAAGGTCTGAGCGCCGATTGGGGGAATGCGGCGAGGGAAGGGGAACGAGCGCAGCGTGCGCCGATGCCTGCGCGGCGGAGAAAAGGTCCGGGATGTTCGGGGCGAACGAAAGGCGGAGGGAGGCGCGCACGGGGGAAACAGCGGAGGCTATCCGGGGAAGGGGAATGCACGCCATGTGGCAAGGCTTGGCGCTGGGCTGGCGAGGCGGGAAGGAAACCTCGACGCCCAGGTACAGTGGTATAATTGACTATGGGAGGAATCAGGGAGGTGGGGCAGGAGCGGAGGAGGTTTTGAGAAATTGGAGAGAGAATTGCCGCGGCGCGGGTTTAGGTCTCGCGAATTTTTTTCATCGCGCTAAAATTTTTACACAACCCAAAAGGCGCGCGGTCCCGGCACTTTGTCTGCAAATTGGTAGTGTAGATGTAAGTGTACGGTCAGGTCCGAAGTTTTTGCCAGAAACCCAAACCAGACCCTCCAACATTGTTGGAGCCATAAAATCGTAGTACAGTGTTGCCAGGCCTACGTGTGACAACTCGTACTTTAGGCTCAACAAGGCGCCACCAAGTCGATGGTCCTATGAGCGCCAAATGGCAGTCATTGAGACGATGTGTTAATGAGCAACGGAAACTGAGCACATCGAACGTGGACCAATAAGGTGACGTTTCGGGACGATCCGGGGTTATTCATCACGGTAAACAATGTCAGACAAGTTTCCCACCAAAAACCATGCATGCACCAGTCTGACGTCAACGCGGATGCACTGGCTGAATGTGTTATGACATTTCACAGCAACAAAATGAGCACCAATCGCAGGCAGCCGTTCATGAACAAAGCTGCCCACGTGGTACGTTTAGCCCCGTTGCCACATGTGCTCATTAACACCATGCTTGAAACGGCCAACGTGCTAATTACAACGAACCAAGTCCAATCCGCATTTTATCTACAAAGTTTATGAGCATGCCAGCTGCACGCCACCTGGCCTCCGGGGGAATCTACCAATGTGATTCTCACCATTCAGGGACACCCATGAGGGTTTGCCACCCCATGCTTGGCCCTGTGTACAACCTCGATTTGCTAAAGAACAGACCGCGAGCATGAGCGAACGAGGATAAACCAGCACACGGTTCCACGTGGACGGGAATCGGATAAAACGACGTTCGCGACGCGATATGCATCCAATCGGTGCTCGAATTGTTCAGCGTGCAATTCCCGCAAGCGAGTGCAGTTGTTGCCCGTGATTAGTCACAAGACCCTAGGCCCTCGCATTCTTATTCATTGTCATTCTTGCTCATTACCCACCGACCTGTGCTCGATGTTTGGCTTTCCGTTTCAAACAATCTCGCATTAGCAGTCCCGCTCACCGTTGTTCACAAGTTTGAGCCCTTTACTCCTTCGTTGCCGTTAGCCTGAGACTCACCCGCGTTCACCTCTAGCCACTAGAGATGCCTACGAGCCGGCCGGACGACCCAGTCGCACTTGATATCGAGGAGGATGACGACCTATTGGAAGTAGAGTTTACGTCGGATTACGGCGGAACGGCCGGAGAGGATGCTACTAAAGTCCCAAGCGGACGCCGCTCGCGTAACAGGGGCGGCGAGCACCAAAAACGTCAAAAGACGACTCGTGCAGAACAGCAACCAGCGACCGGCCCGAATACTAGGGCGCACCCGGCACGGGCCACGCCAGAACCGTATTCCTTCCAACCCCCGCCTCCCCCCCAGAAGTCGCTACCACCGGCACAGGATCTTATTGCGGACATGGCAGGGAGCATGAAGCAGCTCCCGGGCATTACCCCGGCGTGCCGAGCTAGGAAGGAACCGTCGGTCAAGAGTGGCAACTGGCCCACGAAGCTGGTTTCTAACTGGCATGGGTTCGGCACTACGTTGAAGTACAAGGTATTTAATAGCTCTGTTACTGAGACCGCGGGCACACCAAACAACCTAACTTCGTGTGAAGATACCTGCGTTGATTCTGAGCTACGAACATCTACTGATCGCAGCGGGGGACGCTTCGTATACCCCAATTCATTTATTTAGATCATCTGCAACATTCCAAGCAATGTCACTACAACAATGAACATATCGGTTGGTAAGATCATCAGCAACATTCCAAGCAATGTCAATACAACAATGAACATATCAGAAGTAGGGTGTTAATAAACTCATCCAAATTGTATAGGAGTGTACATTGCGTGGCTGAATCCGAAGGCCAAACACTTTGTCCATCTGTTTTTGATGCGTACATCCTGCTCAAACGCCACGCTGTCATGTACCTGGCCCAAAATGAATTTCGCCAACGTCCAATACCATTGGACGTCGTGACATGCGTACGTGATTGGCTCGGTTCGCCAGTTTCGCACGTGAGGCGACATGTCCCACCCAGGGTGACTGTACCTTGTCGACATTGAACAGGCTAGTGAATCCGCGTGCGAGCAGTGATAAGCAGGGTGATTGGTCGATTGGACGCATCCCAGATTATTGACAGTGGCGCGCAACCAATCGGAGGTGTACCTTTCGCCACTGGACCAACATTTATCCCCCTCAAAGCTTCTTGCTCGAATCACATGACTGGCACATAAGGGCGCAGCTGTCCTCAGTACCTTGTCAATCCTTCCCGTTGAGCAAACTCGGTTCCTGGATCTAGTTTCCATAACGTAGCACAGTACCCGGAATGGGGCGCAAGCGTAAGGGACAGTCCCTTAACGACTGCCCAAAGGACCTCAATGAAATAACTTACATCCGCTGGATCAACGACCAGATCGCAAAAAACCGACCATTGACGGGCATACGGCCGCCGCATGCAGGTGACGGGCAGGGTTCCAGTGCACCTTCTCCCAGCTCGGGTCCTTCGCGCGTGCGCAGGCAGCCTACCAGAACCGCCGCACCAGTACGTCCGTTTGCGGAGAAAGAAGTTGACGACGACGAGGATGACGAGTACGAAGGCGAGGCCGAAGGCACCGACGAAGAGGATGTCGAGCCTGAAGATCTTAGCATGTCCCCTACCGAAGATGACGGCGACGACGACGACGCACGCGGCGATGCGGCGGGGCATGCGCAACCCGTGATTGCCCCGCCGAAACGGAGCTCCGCACGCGGGGTTGGCGCAAGGAAAGGCAAAGGCAAGGCGGTTGCACCACCGCCTCGGCAGGAGGCCCGGAAGAAGCGGGCCGCTGCACCGGTCGAGAGGGGAGCGTGGACTGACAAGGAAAGCACTATTTTGGCCGCGGCTCGGTGGCATACCAAAGATAAGCTCGAGCCACTCAAGGGCAAGCAGGGAACGCAATACTGGGTCAGCCTGCTCGATCACATCACGGGGGCTAATCCGGGTTGGTGCAGGAACGTCAATGCTCTGCAGAAGCAGTGGCGCAACTTGATGGTTGCGTGGGACGAGTACAAACAAATGGATCACGAGGGCCAGTCTTCCTACGAGAAACCGCCGTGGTGGCCATACATGGAGCTATACAACTTATCCACCGGAGCATCCGGTGCGCACGGAGATGACGGAGGCGGCGCCACGAACGCCAACAAGGTGGCCGGCATGGATGTACCAAGCTCCTCTCAGCCTGTCACGTCGACACCTACCTTCACAGGTGTGAGCCTTGTGGGTTTATGAGTGTGAGACCACAGCGAACATTTGGGTGAAACCATCATGCACATGCAATCTCGAACCTGCAATCTCATGGTGTTTCAATTCTACATCTCATAACATGCGTTTGGACTTGCAACATGACCCTGCAATCTCGTGTTGTTTCATTTGTACACCTCACACCATGCGTGCAACATTACGTCCCTGCCACAGCTCCGCCGCCGCAAACCACGGTTACACCTAGGCGCGCCCGGGTGCATGAGACGGCGACGATGCAAGCCGCCATGCTTGTCTGCGCGACCATCAAAGAATGTCATGTGGACGCACTCTCACGCATCGAGGGACTCGTCCGTGAGTGGATGGCGCAGGATTTGCGCATTGCCCGCGAGCAAATGGCGCTATCAGCGCCATCCCATGTGCACGTTGGAGGGAATAGCCCCATACAGCCTCCAACACGCGGGGAGTCTGCACCGCCTCCCGATCGTCGTGCGCCCACCACCGCTGGAGGCGTTGCCGGCGTGCTCCACGGCGAAGCCGCGGACATAGTGACGGAAACTCATGGGGATCATGCCCAGTTATGGGTGCGCGATGACGACGACTAGAGTAAGATTCATGCATCGGATGGTCATGTCTTGCTCGGGTTCACTGCACTAACATTTGCACGCACGTGTTGAGCACACTACATGCGTGGCTCAAGAGAGGATGTTGCATAACCACTCCGCACGTAGCGTTCACTGGTGGGGCGCCTCTACTTTGGGAGGTGCCGTTGCACCTCTTCCCAGCCATGCGAGTTTAGCTCTCTGTGTGGCTTCGTGTCACCCTTTGTTTTTAACCGTCCTTCACTTTTGAGGGCCAACTGGTGTGGTAGCATAGTTGTCGCGCGGGACAAGCACTGGTTGTAGGCGGGAATCTGTACGCCATCTGACCTTGCCTTAGCATGTTAGGAAACGGTCCTGCAACAACCTTGCCTATACCCAATTGCAAATCTGAATGGCACCGTGGGATTCAAGGTTTTGTGTGAGCAGGGTATGCCGTTTTAACGTTGTGTGTTTTAAGGTCGTTCCATTTTGTTGCGCTAATGAACACAAACCAAACCAGTTCACGTAAGCAGACATACCGATCGATAGTGTGTTTCCGCACGTTTCGAGATCCGGCTCCGTTAGGCGTGCCAATACTTGTTAGCGGTGTGCTATTTATTTTGTTAATAAACGTAATGACACATCCGAACGCGCGTCTCAAGGTTCAATACAACTGATGCGAGGCTGCGACGTACACTTGGCACGTCCCCTCGAATGATTCGCGGTGTTATCCACGTGGACCGTGATATGTCGTGGAATTTGTCAGGCTAATATCCGATTCACGCTGTGCGTTAATTAACATACCGGTCGCCCTACCGCTCCGGTTGATGCTCCCACAAATAGACATCGCAGTATTTTCGATTCTGGTCCCATGCGAACTATGGGTTTTATGAGCCTGCGGCATGCACTGGTTGTAGGCGGTAATGGGGCACGAATGACCTGGTTAGGTAGTATGAGCATGCATCATGTGCCCCTGGGCGTTGTTTGTGTTAAACAACATCTGGATCATTAACGAAAAAGCATCGTGTTTTTTGCGTTTGTTCAGGACGTTTGTGTTTGTAACTGTTAATTACGATCATAATCAACAACCAATCCGTTTTCCGATTACACAACTCGTACTGTCTCTGTTTTTTAGCGTTTCGCGTAAGTAATGCTCGATACGATGGGGTCCCAAACATATGAGAGCAAAGGAGATCATTGGGGTTGCAGGCCGTTGGTCTTATATTTTTTAGCATCGAAGGTTTGTTAGATGGTCTTCTCTACCAAATAACAAATTCTTACGTAGCACTATTACGTAATCCAACTTGTCAACCCTAAGACCCCTACAGATGTGGGCTAGCTAGGTGCTGAACCACACATGCCAGCTACATTATAAATTTATGGCGGCCACTATTCTAATGTACGACTGTGCGGCTGCGTGCTCCAAGTCTAGTACGATCACCAAAGCTCAACCTACCGTGTGGTACACACCTCCCGCAGCCCTGTCGGATCCATACTTCTGGGTGCATGTCGCTGAGTTGTGGTTACGCCCCAAGCAGGTGCGGCAGCGATAGTTCGCCGGCGGAGCAGCCCTGAGCCTGTTGGACGGGGGACGGCCAGGACCCCTACGAGTGAATGTAGGTGCGTCACACACGCCCTGAGGCACGGGTGTTGTCTGTGCCATCAGGGTGTCGATGCAGGTACCGGGAATGGCGTGGGAGTATGTTACGCGGAGGTTGACTGTGGTGTAGTAGTCGCTGACATACTCCCACCCGTTTTTGTTCGCCATGGGGAAAAACGCCATGGCATGTGCGCATAGAAAAGCGTACTCTTTCCAATTGCCGCACTCACAGCTACCCTCGCCACGTAGGTCGACGTTGTAGCTTCGGGGGGTGGTGTCCTCCGTGTTGCCGTTGTTTATCACCTCCGCAAGGAACTCGATGTGGGAGATTTTCACCTCGTAGTTCTTTGCCCGCTCGCACTTCGCCTCATATCGTTTTCTCCCCCACTCCGTTAAGTAGTCGTCCCGGGCTCTAGCCTCCTCACGCCGCTCGTGAAACTTTTTGACGTTGTAGTCCCACATTGAAGCTAACAGATACGCTGGTGGAAGGCAGCGGATGGATTTTACGGCCCCGTTGGTCGACTCCGCCATGTTGCTCGTGTAGATGCCGAATCTCCGCGTTGGGGCCGCACATCGAGCCTATTGCTTCTCGTACACCCAGATTATGTTCCTGCGTGCAGCGTAATCACCGCGAAGGCCGGTTCGGACCCGGACGCCATCCTCACCGTCCTCCAGGGAGCCCTCTTCCACGACGGTCGCCTCGTCCTCTACCACGCTGGGAATAGCCTCGTTGGTGTTCCCAACCGCGGGTCCCGGGTCCACAGTTGTAGGAGGAGTGTCACGTGTTGCTGCCGCGGTCGGTGGTGGCTGGCGGGCGGGTGCAGCGGTCGGTGGTGGCTGGCGGGCGGGCGCCGCGGTCGGTGGTGGCTGGCGGGCGGGTGCCGCGGTCGGAGGTGGCTCTCGGGTTGGTGCGGTGACTCCCGGGACCGCAGCTCTCAGAACAATCTTGCCAAAGTTGAAGCACGCAGCTGTTCCTCGCCATCCGCTCGGCACCACGATCGGTGTAGAACGTCGCAGTGTAGGTTGCGCCGGCTGGGAAGAAGAAGGTGTAGTTGTTCCGGCAAGATGGGCTGCAACATGGACACGGGAAAGGCCGTTGTGGCTATGTGAGTTGCGGTACCAACTGCGCAGTACTTTATCAAGTCAAGACGCCAGAAAGTGTAGGAGCGCTCACACAAACTGTGGCGTGGGTACGGGTTGCATATAGTCGTCACGAGCACACATAACAACAGGAAGGGCGTATTGACAACACGTTATTCAAACGCACCTGTTGCATCAGATGGGTCGTACGGAGTGGTTGGTGACGGCGTTGTGGATGGTCCTTCAGTAGTGGCCGGGCGAGGGGTTGCGGTGGGCATCGGGTCTGCGGGTCCACATGGCGATGCGGAAGATGCTGGTGCAGCTGAAGGGTGGGTCGCAGAAGCGCGGGACAGTGCTGCGTATGGGGGGGGCGCTGCGGACGGCCCTGGTGCTGCCGATGGGCTTGCCGACTCGGATGATGCATGTGCCTCGGATGTGCGTGTCGCTGAAGCGGGCGACGGTGCTGTGGACGGAAGGGGCGCAGCTGAGGGCCCGGGCGCGGCAGATGGGCCTGGCGTGGCGGATGATGCATGTGCTGGCGGCTGGGCGGGTCGCTGCAGCGGGCGACGGTGCTGTGGAAGGGCGGGGCGCTGCGGACGGCCCTGGCGTTGCAGACGGGCCTGGCGTGGCGGATGATGCATGTGCCGCGGCTGGGCGGGTCGCAGCAGCGGGCGACGGTGCTGTGGAAGGGCGGGGCGCTGCGGACGGCCCTGGCGTTGCAGACGGGCCTGGCGTGGCGGATGATGCATGTGCAGCGGCGGGGCGGGTCGCAGCAGCAGGCGACGGTGCTGTGGACGGCCGGGGCCAGCGGCATGCTCCGGATTCGGAGGTGGTCGTCCTGCGCCGCTCTCTCTGTCGGCGGCCGCTTCGCTGCGACAGTGCCTGGCGAGCACGACGCCGTGCTTCAGCCGCTTCGGCCGCAATGTTGTTGGCGGTCGCACGCGTCCGGCGTGTTTGCTGCACGTTGCGGCGGCGAATACGGAAACCAGCTGGTGGAGTGGGGTTTGGACCGACCGCGTCGACCACAGGCGCCGGACCGTAGAGGTAAGTCGTGAGCAGGGGATGGGATTTCCGTGCACCGACCTTGAGCTCGTTGTACTTCTCCAATGTCCGGGCTGTCAAAAGCCACCACAACATGTCCGAGGAGGTCTTCCCGAACCGCTTCACGTTCTGCTGCATGTGCCACCCACAAAAGTAGTGCGGAGTCTCAGGGAACACTTCCTTCACCGCCGGGATGAGATTTTTGTCCCGGTCACTGATGATGGCCGCGGCGTCCCGTCCCTTCCAGTCGGAGCAGTGCTTGTCAAAGAGACGGCAAAACCACGTCCATGTGTCCTTGGTTTCGCTCTCTACGAGGGCCCACGCGATGAGGATGATCTGCTGATTGCCGTCCATCGCGTTGGCGTACAGCAGGGTAGCCTTCTGAGCACGGATCAGGAACGTCCCGTCCATTGCGATGACAGGCCTGCAGGTCTTCAGCGCTTCGCGTGTTGCACTCGGCGCCATGAAGAAGCGGAGAAATTCGTGGTTGTACGTCAGAAGCTCCACGGTTGCTCTGCTGTCGATCCGCCGAATGCGCTCTTGCACCGCCGGAATGTAGCGGAAAGACTCGCACCAGTCGCCGAATCGCTGCGCCGTGATGCCTACCTTCAGCCTGCGTGGGAGGAATGTATGGGTGGTATCGGGACATGAGTGAAGTGGAGGCAACACTGGCTGTAACAGAGAAGATCCCTTGATGTACGGCCTATGACGGGTGTACTCTCACCGGTAGGCGTTGTTGTAAGTTAACTTCGGGCCATAGCAGGCCTGGATCTGCTTGGCGTAGTCCCAAGGAGCGTTAAACGGCGCTGCACGGACGAAGTTGCCGAATTTCCGCCAAAGGTACTTCCTCTTACGTCCCATACCCGGCCACCACCGGGCCCGCATGCGGCGGTCGCATGTGTGCTCTGCGGGATCGGACAGCTCCACGATTCGCCACGGTCCGTTCCGCTGGAGACGCGCGTAGCTGCACCGCCATGGACAAGGGGGGTCCAACCCAAGCTTCTGACTCTTGCACAATGCTAGCGCCGATGCCTTCCTGGTAGACTTCATGTAGAAACCGTATTTATGAGTCACCGCAGCATCAAGCAAAGCATAGAGGCAATGATCCCGCGAGGAGTACCAGTTACCCTCCTCAATGGCAGCGTTGTCATTGATAGTAGGCCCCTCTTCGGGTTCAAACTCTACGTCGAAGTTCTCCAGTATAATGTCATACATGTCACGGCTATTAGCCGGAGGTTCCTCCATCATGTATCTGATACAACACCTAGGTTATCCCCTCGCTATATGTACATGGTCATCTGGTGGCCTCGCTTTTTATCAGCGAGACGCCAACACATGTGTACGCCATGTAGAACTGTCTCTGGTGAGACGACTACGGTGGACTCGGAAACCCTGACAATTCGTACAACAGCTAGGAACAACAATAATTCAGTTGACAGTCCCAGGTGCCATCTTACTGGCAGCGGCTGCCACCGGTGCGAATCGTCAGAACTCGCGGCGCCTGAATCGTGTTATGTTCGCTGGCGCGTTTATTATCAGATTCTGAACACACTGTACCCAATCACACGTCGCCTTGTGGCATGTATATGGTAAAAGTTTCGCGATGATGGCAAAATTACACGGATCGTTCAAAAACTCGCTTATCGCCCGCCAACACAACGATTCGCATGCATTCTTGCATGACGTGTCTGACGCAAGTACTTGCACGTGGAATCTAGTTCAGAACGTCAGAATCGAACCGAGTCGCCCGACAGATGAAGTTGTGTAGCGCAGGGTCCACGTTACGTTTATGTAGAACCGCGTGGCACGCCCGAAAGAATGGCTAAATAACACTCGCCAGTCTTGTTTCGCCACGTTCAACCCCACAAACCTCCATTTCCCCACAGTTCTGAACTGAAACTGCTTGCGGAACCTGGACGCGCCACACATACGCCGAACCGACTTCATCATGCCCAATAGGATGAAACTACGTGGCAGGTAAGCTCGATGTCAACCAGCAAACTGCCCACCGACATTTTGGAACCCCCGAAAAAAAGGCCTTATGGAGTTTAAATGAAGCTAAATCCGGGGAGCGCGCGCCGCTCGCGATAAAAGGTGGGGCGTGTGCCTTTTGGGTTGTGTAAAAATTTTAGCGCGATGAAAAAAATTCGCGAGACCTAAACCCGCGCCGCGGCAATTCTCTCGAAATTGGAGGTTGAGGCATGGGCGGTGGTTTGGTGCTGGTGCGCCTGGTGACTGTACCGAGTACGCGATGTTGGATGGCTGCAATCTACACTCTTTTGTGAAGCTTTCTCCATACAGTCTAAACGGTTCCTTCCCTCAACAAACATGTATGTATACATGAATGGACCCTTAGCTTAAATGATGTAGTCTGATCCAGTTGTTGAGAAGCTTAATTCCTGCAGGAATTGAGCAATTATCCGCTGGCGATGTAATTTAAATTCACTCCGATTGCATTGTCGTATACTAGATACACTCGTACAGACCCTGCTATTACTACACTTGAGGGTAGTGAAGGAGCTTTTTTGCCTGTCGTCATAAGAAGCCCTACATTAGATGCAGATGTCACGCCTTCTCCGTTTCATTTGCTCCTTGAGATGACACGTTTATAAAATCCAACGTGAACAGTAGAACTATTAATATATAGTACAAAATATGATGATTTGCCGGGAGGGATGGAGTCGTGCGGCCCTTATTCAAGATGCCATCTTCTTGCGAATCGGACGGTCGGGCTCGACGGCCCGTCAACGACGGCGAGTCTCCGCAGTCGCACAGTCGCCCTTATGCGACACTCAAAACGGATGCCTTCACACCTGTCGCGCTCGTCTCCTAGCGCTCCGCAGTCTTTCCCATCGCGCGCTGCGCTTTCGTTTCCGACACAGTGGCGGCGATATCGTTATCGGGCTGCACCGCAACCGCTGGTTGCTTCTCAGGCGCCATCCTGCGCGACTGCCACGCGCTGCCGGCGGGAATCGCAGCTGCGGCTTCGAACGACCTGGCGTGCGGACGCAGACGCAGCATGGAGGTAACAAGCGGCGCGGGCACGATCACGCCGCCCATGGAGTGCACAACAACGTTCCGCGTCGTCAGCGCGTTGATATCCTTCACGGGCACGCTCCCCGCGTAGAAGTAATGCGCGTCCATGGAGAGGGAAATAGCCGATCCGGTGGATGACGTCGCGGCGCCGTTCCAGGCGAAGAGAGAGACGCTGTGGGGAACGAAGTGGTGCAGGAGGAGCTGTCGCAGCGCCGCGCGATTCTCGGGGAGCACGAGAGTCTCGAGGCCCTCCTGAGAGATTTGCTCTGAGATGCCGGCGTTGGTGGGCGCGAGGACGGTGACTGTGTTCGATCTCGCGATCATGCCGTCGATTTCAGGCCCGAGGTTTGCGTGCGAAAGAAGCCTGGCGAAACTGGTGTAACCCGACGTGGATAGCTGCAAGATGAAGGAGGCGTGCGCGAGAGACAGGGACAGGGACGCCAGGAGCAAGAACGCGAGGCAGCGTGCAGCCATTTGCGCCATCGTCGTCGTCGTGACTGCTCACGCGGCAAACTGAAAGTGCTTTGGTTCAGCGAGTGGCTCAAAGAAAGAATGCCTGCTCTTCTGCGTTCGATCCCCAAGAATTCAAAGTGAACCTTGGTTAGATTGTCAAGGCAGACTGCCGGCGTCCATCTCGAGTTTGAAGCTGAACTAGATGGTCGTCGGCGTAAGGGGTCGAGCTAGGCAGGCAGGCAGGGACGTAGCTCCGAGACAAGGCTCTCAGGTTGCATTGCACAGTATGGGCGGGAATTCTGGAGATGCTTTTCCCCTGTAGCATTCTTAGGGTCCAAGCATGGCCGCCGCTTTCGCCCTGATTCCCGGAATCTCGTTCTTGACATTGATGATGGGTGCTGCCCGGTTGCGCGACGGGAATAAGACACCAATGAAAAGTACACTGTACCTCCTGCTGCGTCGAACTTCGTCCTTCTCTCCTGAACAGTGTTGGAAAGATCTGCGATTCGGTCTCCCGCTCAATTCTGAAGGCATTCTTGGGCAATCGAAATGGACGGAGGAATTCCTGCAATACTCATTCGGCCAACTTCATTGACACTCAAATTATGCCTGACGCGGTTTGCAAGCGTACTCAACCAACAATTTTGCAGTATAGTCAGTACAAATACTTTTGAAAATATTATAAGAACAATACTGAAACAAAGTCGCCACCAGCAGGTCTGCACATACCCAACCAAAAAGGGAACATACTAAAACGCTTGGATAACCAAGAAATAGTCTGGTAATATTAACCGTAAATACGGGATATCGTATAGTGTTTAGTTTTTTATGCTACAACAAACAACACCGCCCAGCGGAGCTTGCTACCCGAAAGGCTTTAAAAAACAGCCCTCCTACTGAAAGGCATCCAGTAAGGATGGCATCAACCCTTAAAACCTTGTCGCATGATGCCGACGACCCTATTCCGTTAAGTTATTCCTAGTCTGCATTTTTTCCCAATGGGTTTTTTATCTTTACGAAATTCGCGCGCTATACAAATTTTTCTTTGTACAGGGTTGAGTATTCAATGCTTTTTTTTTGTTTATTGTAAGGTAGCACCTCCACACAATATTGTCTAATGAAGTTCGGTTATCGCGTTCTGTTTCTATCACATTTCGGAGGTGTTTTTAGCCTGAAAAGTGTGATTGAAAAGCGAGAACCAATCAGCGATGAGAAATCGAAGTTGAGTACGCTTGCAAACCGCGTCAGGCATAATTTGAGTATCAATGAAGTTGGCCGATACTCATTGGCTACCGTCCATCAGCGTGTGCAACGGAAACAAGCAGGTTTCTTTCCTGGAATGCTTTTCCCCCAGCGGTCAAACCAAGTCTCTCCCTGGCAAAGTTCCTGAGCACGAAATTCTGTTCACATGGAATTTCGCCTGCGCGTTTCCCGGATGCAAGCAGACTGCATTTCAGCGACAGCGAACGCCTGGGGAATGTGTGGACCTGATGAAACTGCACCCAACATCAAAGTACAGTACACACATATAAAAAACTTGATGCAAAAGTCGTATGTATTTCTAATTAGTCTTATGTATGTGTATTCCTTGGTGAGAACAGTGAGTGATCTTAACATAAACGAAGTAGTCTGCAGAATGCTAACAGATACTTCCGACATAATTTTGGGCCGGCACAGCCTCCTAACTTTAGGGCCTAGACCAAGCGGCAGACCTCCAACGCATCGACGACGTGGGCACGCAAAGCTACGAACCGAAATGTGTAGTAAATGACTGTAGTGTTCGTTACTGCCGTCCCTCGCGGCAAACACGGCGCCGCACAAGCAAGTTAGAGTTTTACTAACTGCGCCGCAGTCGAACGGCAACTCTGCTCGTGGCGGCTTAGTCATCTCGCGACACAAGCCAATTTAGAGCCGGCACTTGCGGTGAGGAAAACCATTTCTCGAGGACTCTCAGAGCGCGCATCCGGCGCACGACCGCCATTGCGTTCACTACAGCGGTGCATTCGCCGCAAAAACGGACATTCGCGCATTGGCGGTCAGTCGCGATGGCGCGGTTGCGTGGCTGTGCGCTCGTGGCGGCGATGCTGCTCGCTGCCCTCGTGGCTGGCAGTCGCTCTGCTACGGCGCAAAAGAAGAACAGCCACAACCTCATAGGTACGCCGTGTGCTGCTGCGCCGCGTGCTGCTGCGCCGCGTGCTGCTGTGGTTGTGCCTCTGCGTGCGTGTGCGTTTCCGCGTGTGTGCGCGCGCACACGCACGCGTGTATGTCCGCATGTGCATGTGCTTCCTTGCGTGTGTGCTTGCGAGAATGTGTCACGTGCATTCCGGTTCCCCCACGCCAAGTTGTGCCATGCCACCCCACCCCACCCCACCCGACCCCACCCCACCCCACCCGACCCCACCCCACCCCACCCCACTGCACCGCACCACACGCGGGAGCAGGCGAGGTGATGAAGGCGTTGGCGTCGGAGTGGGCGGACAACAACCTAGCGTCGCTGACATGCGAGACCGCCCCGGACGTGCTGCTCTGCAACGACCAGGGCCAAGTCGTCTCCATGTATGTACGCACTCCATTCAATGTCACATCACATGCCCGTGCATCGTCATATAGGCGTACTGGATGGTCAGCACAGCACAGCACAGCACAGCACAGCACAGCACAGCACAGCACAGCACAGCACAGCACAGCACAGCACAGCACAGCACAGCACCGCACCGCACCGCACCGCACCGCACCGCACAGCACAGCACAGCACAGCACAGCACAGCACAGCACAGCACAGCACAGCACCGCACCGCACCGCACCGCACCGCACCGCACCGCACAGCACAGCACAGCACAGCACAGCACAGCACAGCACAGCACAGCACAGCACAGCACAGCACAGCACAGCATAGCATAGCATCGTGTCGTGTGTGAGCTCCAAGTCACCGCCATCCATGCATGCATGCATCGTGCCAGGCGACAATTACAAGCCTGCTCTGCCCCCCCTGAGACCCCTTGCTCTCCACTCCTCTCCACTCCTCTTCGTCCTCTCCACTTGTCTCCGCTGCGCTCCACTGCCCTCCCGTGCTCTCAACGGCCCCTCTCATGCTGCTGCTCTGCTCTCCTCCACCCCCAACGCAACCGATTGTGCTGGGGCGAGGAGCAGGCAGCTGGACGGAGTAGTGAATCCATTGACGGGCGGGGGGGATACGGTTCGGTTCCCCACCATACCTGCACAAATCGGCAACCTCACCACCCTCACCTACCTGTCAGTAACCCCCTCCCTCCTGCCGCTGCTTGAGTGGGACTCGCTGCGTCCTCCCTGCCTGTGCTTGTCATGCCCATCCCCTCGCCCGTGCCCATGCCCATGCCCATGCCCATGCCCATGCCCATGCCCACGCCCCCACATGCCCATGCCCACGCACATGCCCATGCCCACGCACATGCCCATGCCCACGCACATGCCCATGCCCACGCACATGCCCATGCCCACGCACATGCCCATGCCCATGTCTATTCCCGCACCAGCACACCTATCGAGTAGAGGAGTGCCACGGGGAGCTATTCCCCCGCCTCAAAAGCATGCTCATCATCGTGTTCCAATGCCAGCATGCCAGTTGGTCGGTTGCTGCTCCGCGCCTGTGCTGATGCTGTTGTTCGTCTGTGTATCTGGCTGTCGTATGTATGTGTGTGTGAGTGCATGTGCATGGGCATGTGCATGGGCATGTGCATGTGGGCATGCGCAGGAGCATGGCAAGCAACTCTCTCACGGGCACTGTGCCAGACTCATTCAGCAACCTCGTTCAGCTGCAGTTACTGTATGCTCGCTCGCACACACATGCACACAGTTACTGCATGCACACATAGGATGCGCTTCCCAACTCTTCCGTATTGCAAACTGTTCAAATATGATCCTCTCTTTTCGGAAAATGTTTCTTTCATGCACGCACATGCGTGCGTGCATGAATGAATGCCCATGCACGCATGCTCGCACGCACTCACTCACCCACCCACTCGCGAGCACACTGCCTGCTCCTCTGGCAGGGACCTGAGCGCCAACTTGATAAAGCTTTTTGAGTTGACTAGGAATTCCATTCACTCACCCACCCACCCGCCCACCCACCCACTCGCCCACCCGTGCGCCCGTCCGGCCACCCACACACTGCGTGGTGGCCTGGCAGGGACCTGAGCGCCAACTTGATAAAGAAGCCCATCGATGCCATCATGACCCTCACTGCTCTCACCTTCCTGTAATCACCTCCCCCTTTCTGCGCTGCGCCCACATGACACGACCTTTCACACGCCGTGTACGCGGACTTAGAGTGCTGATCCTCTCTCTTTCCTGCGCTCACATACTTGCCAGCAGCCCTCTGCACTCCCTCTCAGCAGCATCCCAAGGTCACATCACACTCGCTTATGCTGTTCGTCTCTCTCTCGAATGGTCCTTGCATTACTTAAGCATGTGCTGGAGTATAGGTCCTCTGCTGCTGCCTCACACAGTAGGATGTGTGCTATGCGGTGCAATGCGGTGTGGTGCTGTGCTGTGCTGTGCTGTGCTGTTTTGTGCTGTGGCTGGTGGCAGGAACGTGAGCTACAACCTCATCATTGCACCACTGTCGCCAGGCATAACCAACCTGCAACAACTAGTAACCCTGTACGTGCTCCCACACATGCTCAACACATGCTCAACACATGCTCAACACATGCTCAACACATGCTCAACACATGCTCAACACATGCTCAACACATGCTCGATACATGCTCAACACATGCTCGATACATGCTCAACACATGCTCAACACATGCTCGATACATGCTCAACACATGCTCGATACATGCTCAACACATGCTCAACACATGCTCGATACATGCTCAACACATGCTCGATACATGCTCAACACATGCTCAACACATGCTCGATACATGCTCAACACATGCTCGATACATGCTCAACACATGCTCGATACATGCTCAACACATGCTCGATACATGCTCAACACATGCTCGATACATGCTCAACACATGCTCAACACATGCTCGATACATGCTCAACACATGCTCGATACATGCTCAACACATGCTCGATACATGCTCAACACATGCTCGATACATGCTCAACACATGCTCGATACATGCTCAACACATGCTCAACACATGCTCGATACATGCTCAACACATGCTCGATACATGCTCAACACATGCTCGATACATGCTCAACACATGCTCGATACATGCTCAACACATGCTCGATACATGCTCAACACATGCTCGATACATGCTCAACACATGCTCGATACATGCTCAACACATGCTCGATACATGCTCAACACATGCTCGATACATGCTCAACACATGCTCGATACATGCTCAACACTCCCTGCACTCCTGCGTGTTTGACGGTCTGACCCATCGGGCCTGCTTTCTGCGTGCTTTTGTGCGTTCTCGTGCTTGCTCTCATCCTCGCTGCTGCGCTTGTGTGTGTGGGCGAGCGAGCAGGGACACTTCAGGCAACTTTTTGGCGGAGGTGCAAGGCCTCTCCACCCTCACCAACCTGCAATCCCTGTGAGAGAGCACCAAGGGGGGAAGGAGGGAAGGAAGGGGACCAGCATGGATCATGCAGGCCTGTGGCAGGAAGCGGCAACAATCAACAATCGCTTGTGTGGTTTGCTGTCACGTTTGGTTTGTTGTCACGTTTGGTTTGTTGTCACGTTTGGTTTGTTGTCACGTTTGGTTTGTTGTCACGTTTGGTTTGTTGTCACGTTTGGTTTGTTGTCACGTTTGGTTTGTTGTCGTTTGGTTTGTTGTCACGTTTGGTTTGTTGTCACGTTCTGCTGCAGGGAGTGCTTGTGTGCCGACGTTTGGGGCGCCTCAAACCCGCGAGAGAGTGCTAGCATGTCACGTGCTGTTGCAGCGCCGCTTGCTTGTGTGCCTGTCTCTGCAATGCCACCCAGTGCAGCCTCCCCACCTGCCCACACTCCCCACCTGCCCACACTCGTTTTGCACAATCCGCAAAGTGAGGTGGGGCTCTGAGTTGGTGTGCTAGCACACTGTTCAATCGACTCACATGTACGTTTGTAAGCTCAGCGCCAGATGCTCGCAAGGCGTTGTTGTCCCTCACTTATTGCTGTGCTGTGCTGTCTGTGCTGCCTGTGTGCCTGTGTGCGCGTGTGCCTGTGTGCGTGCGGGTGGGAGATGCGAATGCGCAGGATAATTCAAGATTGCGATATAGGCCCTAATCCTCTAACGATGTTCACCCCGTTGACAGCATTACAGGACTTGTGCGTACACACCCTCCCTCCTCTCAACCCCTGCGTGCTTTCTCAAGTGGGCATAGGTATCAGGTGCATACATGCTGCAGCTTCGGCACGTCACATGCAGGGGAATTTACGTCTAAAGGATTTCACGTGCAGTGGACTTTTTGTTTTTGAGAATTCTCAAAAGGGTCTAGGGGAGTCTATATTTTGGGGAGTCTACATTTGGGGGAGTCTACATTTGGGGGAGTCTACTCGCAAGGAAGCCCGAACAGGAGCTCTCTCTCCCTCCATCAACACCACGAATGCAGCGTACCCGTCTCCCGTGAGAGCTCTCTTTCATTCCGTCTCTCCTTACATCTCTCCTTCCCTCTCGCCTTCCCTCTCGCCTTTCCTCTCTCCTTCCATCCCCCTTCCCCTCCCTCTTTCTCACAATTCTTCTCTCATCCCCTTGCTCTTCCATTTTTGAAGGGTTACATTAAGTGGCGTCTCAAAACTCTCCCTTGCGTGTGGAGCTTTTGACATGACTAAACAATCAATCTACCCATGTGCGTGCACAGAGTTTTGAGTTGGCTGAAAAGTCGCTTTTGACATGGCTGCACAAATCGATCCACCCATGTGCGTGCACAGAGTTCTGTTCAACAACTCGTTTGAAGGCTCTCTTGCTGCCCTCTCAACACTCAATCGCCTTCAACACCTGTGGGAACCTCACCTCACCTCACCTCACCTCACCTCACCTCACCTCACCTCACCTCACCTCACCTCACCTCACCTCACCTCACCTCACCTCACCTCACCTCACCTCCGACACCTGTTTGAACCTCCCCATGACCTGTTTCTCATTGGCATGTCACCCGTACCCCTTCCCCACTCACTCTCACACCACCACTCACGCACTAACAATCAGCTGCAGCTCATAGCACATGCTGTCGTGCCCACTGACCTCGTATGCTGGAACAATTAATTGATAAGACAGTGCACGCCCGTTTCTTTCTTTCTTTCTTTCTTTCTTTCTTTCTTTTTCTTCTTTCTTTCTTTCTTTCTTTCTTTCTTTCTTTCTTTCTTTCTTTCTTTCTTTCTTTCTTTCTTTCATTGTCTCTCTTTTTTCTTTCTTTTTTTTTTCCCACGTATCATTGTGTCTTGCTTTTAATACCTGGGTTCCCCTGTGGCAGGAACCTAGGCTCCAACAACATAGGAGCAGACATACCATCCTCCATATCCCGCCTCTCTCGCCTCTCCTACCTGTACGAACGACGCAGCACACACACACACGCACGCACGCACGCACGCATGCACGCACGCACGCACGCACGCATGCACGCACGCACGCACGCACGCACGCACGCACGCACACACGTTGGTGCCTCTGATGTCCCCCATGCGCTGATGTCCCCCATGCGCTGATGTCCCCCATGCGCTGATGTCCCCCATGCCCCCATGTTCACTCCGTTCACTGCCACCTTCCAACGAGTTTCTTTATCCCGAGACAAAGCCGCGCCTCTCAGCCATTTATTAATGTCTCACGCTGCTGCACACACACACACACACACGCACACACACACGCACGCGCGCGCGCACACACACACACACACACACACACTCACATTGTCCCCAATCCATCAGCGATCTTTCATACAACCTACTGAGTGGCCGCATCGACCCGCTCACAACCCTCACTGCGCTGCAAGAATTGTCAGTATTCGTGCTCATGTTGCTTGCTGCTGCACCACACACTACCCTACGCTCTTTCAGTGTGCCCATCCATCCATCCATCCATCCATCCATCCATCCATCCATCCATCCATCCATCCATCCATCCATCCATCCATCCATCCATCCATCCATCCATCCATCCATCCATCCATCCATCCATCCATCCATCCATCCATCCATCCATCCATCCATCCATCCATCCATCCATCCATCCATCCATCCATCCATCCATCCATCCATCCCATACTGTGCACTTACCTTGTTAGGCTTCGCACGCAGCTGCTGCATATGTGTATTGCTCCCTCTGCTGCTGCACACAGGTTTCTATTCAACACCGCTTTCTCAGGCTCTTTTCCTGAGTCCATCTCACGTCTTTCTCGCCTCTCCATCCTGTGAGCCATGTGCTATGCAAAGCAATGCCATGCAACTGCCTTGCAACTGCCGTGCATGTGGACGTGTTTGCACTCTTTCAATTCAACCACCGTCAACCCTTTGAGACAGCTAGAAGTGTGACAGGAGCGCATTAGCTCCTTGCTTGCTTGTGCAGCATCCATGTCACGCCACAGAAAGTCTCACAGGACAGACCGGCTTTGCGTTGCACTACAGCCACCACACTACCACCATTGTAGTGCCACCACACTACCACCACCACCAGTGCTACCACACTACCACCACCACCAGTGCCACCACACTACCACCACCACCAGTGCTACCACACTACCACCACCACCAGTGCCACCACACTACCACCACCACCAGTGCCACCACACTACCACCACCGCACTACCACCACCACACTACCACCACCAGTGCCGATAAGCCAGGGGCTGCTTCTCCTGCAGGTGGCCTCAGACCCGCCAAATGCCAGCACACACACTACCCCACGCCCACTCCATGCATGCATGCATGCATGCTCTGGCCTTTACCCGCGCACGCGCACTAACTAATCTCTGTGACTCATTCACTCACTTCGTTCTCTGCGTTCCCTTAACAATCCCCAGCTCGCTGCTTCATCCTTGTTTGTACCCACCTGCCTTGCTGCTACACGTCCAGTCCGATCAGATCAGATCAGATTAAATGAGCAGATCCGTCTCAAAACTCTCAGCAAGCGATGGATGGGTCTTGCTGAGAGTTGATGCACAGAGATGAGCGGGTCTCTCTAGGGACTGAATTCGAACCGTTTCAACTCTCAGCGAGATCCATCCATCCACCTCATTTTCATTGCCGCCACTTATTGACTTGGTCATTCGTCGCTTCGTTCATCCCGTCTTCTGCTTTGCTATCCCATGCGCCCCTCCTCCTGCCTTGCCTTGCCGTCACGCCTCCAGGGTGATCAGCAAGACCAACTTCACCGGCACCCTTCCTGCGTCCCTGGGCCACATGCGCAGTCTCAACTACTTGTGAGCTCATCAAGGCATCAACACAAACACCCCTTTCGTTCGGGTGCTCCTCAACCGCGCCAAGAATCAAGATAGATTCCTCAACCGCATCAAGTTACCTGGATTACACGAGCAAACAATCAAGCGAGCAAGCAAGCAAGCAAGCATGCAAACAACAAACAAACAAACAAACCAAACCAACAACAAACAAACCAACAATCAAACACAGGGTACAAAGCTTGCCACTACGGCTTTGGAGTGCCATCTCATATGCACCGACTTTTGAGTCGACTCAAAAGTCATCTCGTATACACCTGCAAGGTGCCGCCGTACTATCCGTCCAACTCCTTTGAAGCAAGGTAGCCATTCCTGTCCAGTCATCTCATGCGTGCTTCTCCTCTCCTCCCTCGCTCTCTCTCTCTTCCTAGACTCCTCTAGATCTCGATCTTCTCCTCTCCTCCTTCTCCTCTCCTCTCTCTCCTCTCTCTCTTCTCTTCTCTTCCTCTCCTCTCCTCTCCTCTCTCTCTTCTCCTCTCCTCTCCTCTCCTCTCCTCTCCTCTCCTCTCCTCTCCTCTCCTCTCCTCTCCTCTCTCGCCCCCAGCTACCTGGACTACACAACAATGGTGGGGTCCGTTCCAGCATCCCTGGGTAACCTCACTTCCCTTCAGGAGATGTAAGGCTCGTTCTGTGCTCTGCTGTGCTGTGCTGTGCAGTGCTGTGCTGTGCTGTGTGGTGCTGTGCTGTGCGGTGGTGTGGTGCAGTGCAGTCCAGTGTGCTGTGATGTGAAGCAGCTGTGTGGGAGCCATGTGTGTTCCGGCCGTTCTCCTATCTCGGAGACCGTCAATTCCCTCTCATGCCGCAACACTTTTATTCCACCTGCTGACTCCTCGTCTTATCAACAGCGCTGACTAAACACCATCAACAATTCTTTCTTCCCTGTGTTTCTTTCACTTCCCACGCCCTAATCAGAAGTCACTCGCTGTCACATTGTCTGCCTTTCTTCCAATCGCACCATCATGTCCTCCTTGCGCTTCCCTCAGCCGTCTTTCTCAAAAGGCAGTCTGTCCCTCTGTTGTGCCTTCTCCCATGCCCACCTTCCACCACTCCCCTCCTCCCAACTAACTCCCTCCTCTCCCCTCTCCACTCCTCTCCTCCCCTCCCCGCACTTCCCCTCCCCTCCCCTCCCCCTGTCCATTCCTCGCGTCCCACAGCTCATTCCAGCCCATCAGCGACACGGTGGGGCCTAAGTGCGGCAAGGGGGGAGCATGCGTGGTGAATCAGACAGCACAGTCCGCCTTCTGCAACTCCTGCCTTGACTTCTGCATCTCCTGCTCTCCGCCGGGCCTATGTGCTGGCTGCAAAGGTGCGTGTCCGTGAGTGAGTGAGGATGAGCATGGGTCAAGCCCGGGTGAGCCCTCATATAAGGCCAGCCGGGATGGCTTATGTCTTACCTACACTTCTGCATCTCCTGCTCGCCGGCGGGCCTCTGTGCTGGCTGCAAGTTGCGTGTGGCTGAGTGAGTGAGGATGAGCGTGGGGCAAGCCAGGATGGCTTACAACATTCCAACCCTTCTCCCTACATCTTCCTCCTCTTTCCATGTTCGTTTCAGCGCCTAGACACGCGCTGGCACAGAGCACACAAGCCGTACCTACACCCTTCATTTGCGACTCTCCATGCTCCCTGCATCTATGCCTCTCCCCTTGTCAGTGTCTCCACCCCCGCCACCTCCAGCGAGCAGCGGCAGCAGCAACAGCAGCAGCAGCGGCAGCAGCAGCAGCGGCGGCAGCAGCGACAGCGGAGGCGGCTTATCAACGGGGGCAATTATAGGCATTGTGTGTGGGGTGGTGGTGCTGCTGCTCGCACTGCTGCTCGCCGTCCTCTTCAATCTCTACTGGAGGAGCAAGGCCTCCCGCTTCGGTGAGCCCTCTCATCTCACTGGTTGGTCTCTAGCAATACAACATTTGACCTCCCTTGCACTGGTACGGCGAGGCCTGCTTGCTGCGGGCATGCTGTGCCATACGTACCCATGCAGCTGATAGTGTCCATTGTCACTTGCTCCCGTGCAGGTGATCATTGTCACTTGCTCGCATCGTCATTCCCACTGGCATTATAACCACTCCCAAAACCACCACCACTACCACCACCACCACCTCCACCACCACCACCTCCACCACCACCACCACCATTTGACGACCATGCAGGTGCACTGGCGGCGGGCGTGTGTGTGGAGTTCACAATGAGGGAGATGCAGCAGGCCACCAACAACTGGTCCGAGGCCAACCTGCTGGGGTCAGGAGGCTTTGGGGACGTGTACAAGGGCGTGTCGCCCCAAGATGGCACCACGCTGTGGGCTGTGAAGCGCGCCAAAGTCATCACCAACGACTTCCAGCGGGAGGTGCGTGCGTGTGTGTGGGTGTGTGGGTGAGTGGGTGCGGGTGCGTGTATGGCTGTGTGCTGTTGTGTCTTGAAATGAAAAAGAGCTGGCTATTTGACTGTGAATCAGCTTTGCTTGCGATGCTTTCATGTCCCTCGTGTCTCATGCTTAACTCCTGTGTGTACCCGCACCCCACAGGTGCACGAGATGGCCACAAAGCACCACCCCAACCTGGTGCGGCTGCTGGGCTACGCAACGTGTGGGGACCTGCGGGAGCGCATCGAGCAGATCCTCGTCTACGAGTTCATCTCTAACGGGGACCTCGACAAATGGCTCAGCGCAGGTGGGGATGTATGATTGCATGACACTGTGCAGTGGTCAAGCCTGACGTCAAACCTGATCTCAAACCTGACGTCAAACCTGACCTCAAACTTGACGTCAAACCTGATCTCAAACTTGACGTCAAACCTGACCTCAAACTTGACGTCAAACCTGACCTCAAACTTGACGTCAAACCTGACCTCAAACTTGACGTCAAACCTGATCTCAAACTTGACGTCAAACCTGATCTCAAACTTGACGTCAAACCTGATCTCAAACTTGACGTCAAACCTGATCTCAAACTTGACGTCAAACCTGACCTCAAACCTGACGTCAAACCTGATCTCAAACTTGACGTCAAACCTGACCTCAAACTTGACGTCAAACCTGATCTCAAACTTGACGTCAAACCCCACCTCAAACTTGACGTCAAACCTGACCTCAAACTTGACGTCAAACCTGATCTCAAACTTGACGTCAAACCTGATCTCAAACTTGACGTCAAACCTGACCTCAAACTTGACGTCAAACCTGACCTCAAACTTGACGTCAAACCTGACCTCAAACTTGACGTCAAACCTGATCTCAAACTTGACGTCAAACCTGATCTCAAACCTGACGTCAAACCTGACCTCAAACCTGACATCAAACCTGACCTCAAACTTGACGTCAAACCTGATCTCAAACTTGACGTCAAACCTGACCTCAAACCTGACGTCAAACCTGATCTCAAACTTGACGTCAAACCTGACCTCAAACTTGACGTCAAACCTGATCTCAAACTTGACGTCAAACCTGACCTCAAACTTGACGTCAAACCTGACCTCAAACTTGACGTCAAACCTGATCTCAAACTTGACGTCAAACCTGACCTCAAACTTGACGTCAAACCTGACCTCAAACTTGACGTCAAACCTGATCTCAAACTTGACGTCAAACCTGATCTCAAACTTGACGTCAAACCTGACCTCAAACCTGACGTCAAACCTGATCTCAAACTTGACGTCAAACCTGACCTCAAACTTGACGTCAAACCTGATCTCAAACTTGACGTCAAACCCCACCTCAAACTTGACGTCAAACCTGACCTCAAACTTGACGTCAAACCTGATCTCAAACTTGACGTCAAACCTGATCTCAAACTTGACGTCAAACCTGACCTCAAACTTGACGTCAAACCTGACCTCAAACTTGACGTCAAACCTGACCTCAAACTTGACGTCAAACCTGATCTCAAACTTGACGTCAAACCTGATCTCAAACCTGACGTCAAACCTGACCTCAAACCTGACATCAAACCTGACCTCAAACTTGACGTCAAACCTGATCTCAAACTTGACGTCAAACCTGACCTCAAACCTGACGTCAAACCTGATCTCAAACTTGACGTCAAACCTGACCTCAAACTTGACGTCAAACCTGATCTCAAACTTGACGTCAAACCTGACCTCAAACTTGACGTCAAACCTGACCTCAAACTTGACGTCAAACCTGATCTCAAACTTGACGTCAAACCTGACCTCAAACTTGACGTCAAACCTGACCTCAAACTTGACGTCAAACCTGACCTCAAACTTGACGTCAAACCTGATCTCAAACTTGACGTCAAACCTGATCTCAAACTTGACGTCAAACCTGATCTCAAACTTGACGTCAAACCTGATCTCAAACTTGACGTCAAACCTGACCTCAAACTTGACGTCAAACCCCACCTCAAACTTGACGTCAAACCTGACCTCAAACTTGACGTCAAACCTGATCTCAAACTTGACGTCAAACCTGATCTCAAACTTGACGTCAAACCTGACCTCAAACTTGACGTCAAACCTGACCTCAAACTTGACGTCAAACCTGACCTCAAACTTGACGTCAAACCTGATCTCAAACTTGACGTCAAACCTGATCTCAAACCTGACGTCAAACCTGACCTCAAACCTGACATCAAACCTGACCTCAAACTTGACGTCAAACCTGATCTCAAACTTGACGTCAAACCTGACCTCAAACCTGACGTCAAACCTGATCTCAAACTTGACGTCAAACCTGACCTCAAACTTGACGTCAAACCTGATCTCAAACTTGACGTCAAACCTGACCTCAAACTTGACGTCAAACCTGACCTCAAACTTGACGTCAAACCTGATCTCAAACTTGACGTCAAACCTGACCTCAAACTTGACGTCAAACCTGACCTCAAACTTGACGTCAAACCTGACCTCAAACTTGACGTCAAACCTGATCTCAAACTTGACGTCAAACCTGATCTCAAACTTGACGTCAAACCTGATCTCAAACTTGACGTCAAACCTGATCTCAAACTTGACGTCAAACCTGACCTCAAACTTGACGTCAAACCTGATCTCAAACTTGACGTCAAACCTGACCTCAAACTTGACGTCAAACCTGATCTCAAACTTGACGTCAAACCTGATCTCAAACTTGACGTCAAACCTGACCTCAAACTTGACGTCAAACCTGACCTCAAACTTGACGTCAAACCTGACCTCAAACTTGACGTCAAACCTGATCTCAAACTTGACGTCAAACCTGATCTCAAACCTGACGTCAAACCTGACCTCAAACCTGACATCAAACCTGACCTCAAACTTGACGTCAAACCTGATCTCAAACTTGACGTCAAACCTGACCTCAAACCTGACGTCAAACCTGATCTCAAACTTGACGTCAAACCTGACCTCAAACTTGACGTCAAACCTGATCTCAAACTTGACGTCAAACCTGATCTCAAACCTGACCTCAAACCTGACGTCAAACCTGATCTCAAACCTGACGTCAAACCTGACCTCAAACTTGACGTCAAACCTGATCTCAAACTTGACGTCAAACCTGACCTCAAACTTGACGTCAAACCTGATCTCAAACTTGACGTCAAACCTGATCTCAAACTTGACGTCAAACCTGATCTCAAACTTGACGTCAAACCTGACCTCAAACTTGACGTCAAACCTGATCTCAAACTTGACGTCAAACCTGACCTCAAACTTGACGTCAAACCTGATCTCAAACTTGACGTCAAACCTGATCTCAAACTTGACGTCAAACCTGACCTCAAACTTGACGTCAAACCTGACCTCAAACTTGACGTCAAACCTGACCTCAAACTTGACGTCAAACCTGATCTCAAACTTGACGTCAAACCTGATCTCAAACCTGACGTCAAACCTGACCTCAAACCTGACATCAAACCTGACCTCAAACTTGACGTCAAACCTGATCTCAAACTTGACGTCAAACCTGACCTCAAACCTGACGTCAAACCTGATCTCAAACTTGACGTCAAACCTGACCTCAAACTTGACGTCAAACCTGATCTCAAACTTGACGTCAAACCTGATCTCAAACCTGACCTCAAACCTGACGTCAAACCTGATCTCAAACCTGACGTCAAACCTGACCTCAAACTTGACGTCAAACCTGATCTCAAACTTGACGTCAAACCTGACCTCAAACTTGACGTCAAACCTGATCTCAAACTTGACGTCAAACCTGATCTCAAACTTGACGTCAAACCTGATCTCAAACTTGACGTCAAACCTGATCTCAAACTTGACGTCAAACCTGACCTCAAACTTGACGTCAAACCTGATCTCAAACTTGACGTCAAACCTGACCTCAAACTTGACGTCAAACCTGATCTCAAACTTGACGTCAAACCTGATCTCAAACTTGACGTCAAACCTGACCTCAAACTTGACGTCAAACCTGACCTCAAACTTGACGTCAAACCTGACCTCAAACTTGACGTCAAACCTGACCTCAAACTTGACGTCAAACCTGACCTCAAACTTGACGTCAAACCTGATCTCAAACTTGACGTCAAACCTGATCTCAAACCTGACGTCAAACCTGACCTCAAACCTGACATCAAACCTGACCTCAAACTTGACGTCAAACCTGATCTCAAACTTGACGTCAAACCTGACCTCAAACCTGACGTCAAACCTGATCTCAAACTTGACGTCAAACCTGACCTCAAACTTGACGTCAAACCTGATCTCAAACTTGACGTCAAACCTGACCTCAAACTTGACGTCAAACCTGACCTCAAACTTGACGTCAAACCTGATCTCAAACTTGACGTCAAACCTGACCTCAAACTTGACGTCAAACCTGACCTCAAACTTGACGTCAAACCTGACCTCAAACTTGACGTCAAACCTGATCTCAAACTTGACGTCAAACCTGATCTCAAACTTGACGTCAAACCTGATCTCAAACTTGACGTCAAACCTGATCTCAAACTTGACGTCAAACCTGACCTCAAACTTGACGTCAAACCTGATCTCAAACTTGACGTCAAACCTGACCTCAAACTTGACGTCAAACCTGATCTCAAACTTGACGTCAAACCTGATCTCAAACTTGACGTCAAACCTGACCTCAAACTTGACGTCAAACCTGACCTCAAACTTGACGTCAAACCTGACCTCAAACTTGACGTCAAACCTGATCTCAAACTTGACGTCAAACCTGATCTCAAACCTGACGTCAAACCTGACCTCAAACCTGACATCAAACCTGACCTCAAACTTGACGTCAAACCTGATCTCAAACTTGACGTCAAACCTGACCTCAAACCTGACGTCAAACCTGATCTCAAACTTGACGTCAAACCTGACCTCAAACTTGACGTCAAACCTGATCTCAAACTTGACGTCAAACCTGATCTCAAACCTGACCTCAAACCTGACGTCAAACCTGATCTCAAACCTGACGTCAAACCTGACCTCAAACTTGACGTCAAACCTGATCTCAAACTTGACGTCAAACCTGACCTCAAACTTGACGTCAAACCTGATCTCAAACTTGACGTCAAACCTGATCTCAAACTTGACGTCAAACCTGATCTCAAACTTGACGTCAAACCTGATCTCAAACTTGACGTCAAACCTGACCTCAAACTTGACGTCAAACCTGATCTCAAACTTGACGTCAAACCTGACCTCAAACTTGACGTCAAACCTGATCTCAAACTTGACGTCAAACCTGATCTCAAACTTGACGTCAAACCTGACCTCAAACTTGACGTCAAACCTGACCTCAAACTTGACGTCAAACCTGACCTCAAACTTGACGTCAAACCTGATCTCAAACTTGACGTCAAACCTGATCTCAAACCTGACGTCAAACCTGACCTCAAACCTGACATCAAACCTGACCTCAAACTTGACGTCAAACCTGATCTCAAACTTGACGTCAAACCTGACCTCAAACCTGACGTCAAACCTGATCTCAAACTTGACGTCAAACCTGACCTCAAACTTGACGTCAAACCTGATCTCAAACTTGACGTCAAACCTGATCTCAAACCTGACCTCAAACCTGACGTCAAACCTGATCTCAAACCTGACGTCAAACCTGACCTCAAACTTGACGTCAAACCTGATCTCAAACTTGACGTCAAACCTGACCTCAAACTTGACGTCAAACCTGATCTCAAACTTGACGTCAAACCTGATCTCAAACTTGACGTCAAACCTGATCTCAAACTTGACGTCAAACCTGACCTCAAACTTGACGTCAAACCTGATCTCAAACTTGACGTCAAACCTGATCTCAAACCTGACGTCAAACCTGACCTCAAACCTGACGTCAAACCTGATCTCAAACTTGACGTCAAACCTGACCATAAACTTGACGTCAAACCTGATCTCAAACTTGACGTCAAACCTGACCTCAAACTTGACGTCAAACCTGACCTCAAACTTGACGTCAAACCTGATCTCAAACTTGACGTCAAACCTGATCTCAAACTTGACGTCAAACCTGATCTCAAACTTGACGTCAAACCTGATCTCAAACTTGACGTCAAACCTGACCTCAAACCTGACGTCAAACCTGATCTCAAACTTGACGTCAAACCTGACCTCAAACTTGACGTCAAACCTGATCTCAAACTTGACGTCAAACCTGACCTCAAACTTGACGTCAAACCTGACCTCAAACTTGACGTCAAACCTGATCTCAAACTTGACGTCAAACCTGATCTCAAACTTGACGTCAAACCTGACCTCAAACTTGACGTCAAACCTGACCTCAAACTTGACGTCAAACCTGACCTCAAACTTGACGTCAAACCTGATCTCAAACTTGACGTCAAACCTGATCTCAAACTTGACGTCAAACCTGATCTCAAACTTGACGTCAAACCTGATCTCAAACCTGACGTCAAACCTGATCTCAAACTTGACGTCAAACCTGATCTCAAACTTGACGTCAAACCTGATCTCAAACTTGACGTCAAACCTGATCTCAAACCTGACGTCAAACCTGATCTCAAACCTGACCTCAAACCTGACGTCAAACCTGACCTCAAACCTGACGTCAAACCTGACCTCAAACTTGACGTCAAACCTGATCTCAAACTTGACGTCAAACCTGATCTCAAACTTGACGTCAAGCCTCACCTCAAACTTGACGTCAAACCTGACCTCAAACTTGACGTCAAACCTGACCTCAAACTTGACGTCAAACCTGACCTCAAACTTGACGTCAAACCTGATCTCAAACTTGACGTCAAACCTGATCTCAAACTTGACGTCAAACCTGATCTCAAACTTGACGTCAAACCTGATCTCAAACCTGACGTCAAACCTGATCTCAAACTTGACGTCAAACCTGATCTCAAACTTGACGTCAAACCTGATCTCAAACTTGACGTAAAACTTGATCTCAAACCTGACGTCAAACCTGATCTCAAACCTGACGTCAAACCTGACCTCAAACCTGACGTCAAACCTGACCTCAAACTTGACGTCAAACCTGATCTCAAACCTGACGTCAAACCTGACCTCAAACCTGACGTCAAACCTGACCTCAAACTTGACGTCAAACCTGACCTCAAACTTGACGTCAAACCTGATCTCAAACTTGACGTCAAACCTGATCTCAAACCTGACGTCAAACCTGACCTCAAACCTGACGTCAAACCTGACCTCAAACCTGACGTCAAACCTGATCTCAAACTTGACGTCAAACCTGATCTCAAACTTGACGTCAAACCTGATCTCAAACCTGACGTCAAACCTGACCTCAAACTTGACGTCAAACCTGACCTCAAACTTGACGTCAAACCTGATCTCAAACTTGACGTCAAACCTGATCTCAAACCTGACCTCAAACCTGACGTCAAACCTGACCTCAAACCTGACGTCAAACCTGACCTCAAACTTGACGTCAAACCTGATCTCAAACTTGACGTCAAACCTGATCTCAAACTTGACGTCAAGCCTCACCTCAAACTTGACGTCAAACCTGACCTCAAACTTGACGTCAAACCTGACCTCAAACTTGACGTCAAACCTGACCTCAAACTTGACGTCAAACCTGATCTCAAACTTGACGTCAAACCTGATCTCAAACTTGACGTCAAACCTGATCTCAAACTTGACGTCAAACCTGATCTCAAACTTGACGTCAAACCTGATCTCAAACTTGACGTCAAACCTGATCTCAAACTTGACGTCAAACCTGATCTCAAACTTGACGTCAAACCTGATCTCAAACCTCAAACTTGACGTCAAACCTGATCTCAAACTTGACGTCAAACCTGACCTCAAACTTGACGTCAAACCTGACCTCAAACTTGACGTCAAACCTGATCTCAAACTTGACGTCAAACCTGACCTCAAACTTGACGTCAAACCTGACCTCAAACTTGACGTCAAACCTGACCTCAGGCATCCCCGCATCCGCGCATCTCTGAATGCCTGGCATTCACTGCCTGTGCTGTGGCTGTGCAGACGCTCCCTCGCCCCTCACGTTGAGGCAGCGACTGGACATTATCGTGGGAGCATCGCGTGGGTTTGAGTACATGCATGGCTTTGGCATCGTGCACCGTGACATCAAGCCCGCCAACATCCTGCTGGATAGCAACATGCAGGTGAGTGCAGGCAGTGATGGGTATGCCATGAGAAGCCAATACGCAGGTGAGTGCATGCAAGTGGTAAGCCCGCAGCATCACAAGGAAACAGCTCTATAAAAAGCAGCGGCACTGTCTGCTGTCCGATCAAAAACTTCCCTTCCCCTTACTCCTTCTAACTATATTCACCTTCCTTTTGTCCATCCATCCACCCACCCACCCACCCACCCGTGCACGCCCCTACTACCTCTCCGTATAGCCCAAGGTGGCTGACTTTGGTCTCGTGCGGGTGGAGGAGGGCACCAGTGCACAAGCCACACGGGTGATGGGCACACCGGGCTATGTGGACCCCGCTTACTCCCGCACACGCAAGGCCACTCCAGCCACTGATGTGTACAGGTGGGCATGTGAACAGGTGCTCATGTATTGGTGTGTATAGGTGCTGGTGTGCTCATGTGTACATGCACACATAAGCATGCTTCTTCTGAGTGTCTCCCCATGCCAGAGGCTCATGTGCTGGAGATGATTGCTGAATTAGTATGCTCATTGGCTTTGCTGACCTCTTGCTCTTTTGCATGCTTGCTTCTTGGTGTGCAGAAGTCTAACGTGTGTGCATGCGTGCACTCGTATGTTGCTCTGTATGCATATGTTTGTGCGTGCGCATGCATGTGTGCGTGTACGTGTGCCTATGCATATGTGCTTGCGTGTGGGTCTGTACACAATCTTCTGTGTGCGCATCTAATTGTGCTTGTGTGCACATGTGTGTCTGCGTGCGTGCATGTGAGCACATGTGCATGTGTGTTGCAGTTTTGGTATTGTCATGCTGGTAGTGCTCACGGGCAAGCCTGCCACGTATGAGGACGACACAACAACTCCAGGGGCATCCTCAAATGGGTGCGCATACCTTCCTCCCTCCACCTTCCACCTTCCACTTTTTCCCTCTCTCCACCTTCCCTCTCTCCCCCTTCTCGTCTTCCTTCAACATAAGCCGTGCCTCTGTCCTGCACACTCTCTGTCCCCATCCCACCTCCACCCCCACCCTCCCCTTCTCCGCCCACTCCCACCAGCCGCTGCTAACACCTTATCTCTACCTCCTCTCACCTCCTTCCACCATTTCCCACCCTGTTCCACCACTCACTCTCCCCCAACACCCGCAGGTACAGGAGAAGCTGGGCCAGGGGGGTTCAATCGAGGAAATCGCAGACCCGTGCATGGGCGCCGTGTCACCGGACGCGCTGCAGCGCATCACAGACCTGGCCATGCGCTGCACTGCCACCTTCACTGCTGACCGCCCCTCCATGGGGCGCATTGCCCAGGAGATGGATGCGCTGCGTGGTGAGGTGGGCGGTGGGGAGGAGCAGGTGCACAAGTCGTACGAGGTGGTGGATGCTGAGCTCCGGGCGAGGATGCAGCAGCAGCAGAAGATGAGTGAGCAGAGTATGGACTCTTTTCTTGATTCGATTCACTCGGGGAAGATCGGGAGCATGATGGACACGGGGGAGGTGCGTGCGGGGGATGGCTCTTTGAATGTGTGAATGTGAGTGAAAGTAAGGGTGCGGAACGAAGCGGAAGGAAGTTCAGAGAGGACTACTTTTATTGGAAATTTTAGAATTGGGATGAAATAACGCGCTAATACTGTGCATTGATGAATTAGTCAAGTCCACGTTTTGAGTTGTGCTTTGTTCAGGTTCTTTTATAATGCCTTGAGTTTGAATGGTAACATTAGTGTTATATACTTGTAACCTGTTTATAAATATAGTGTAAGTAGATTACATGGAAATACTATACCAGCCAAACACTCCTTGTAAAGCTTCGCTGTACTCGAAAACCTGAATGATACCCATCCGCGTTTTGCAACTACCCAATTAGGCCTGTCTCTGCCGACAATTTCAGGCTCTCGAATACGTGTTCCTGACAATGGTCAGAACGAAGTGTCAATGTTCGCGTCACAAGGAAACTCCTCGCTGGTTCCGTAGGCGAGTTGAACAAACATGGAAGGATTCGATCTAAGCGTCAAAACGTCTGACTTTGAAAACGTCTCCGCCTCTCCTCCCAGCCCAATCTGAAATTCTTCCACCCGGTACTGGAAACCCTCTTGCTTGTTCAGCTGACACCCAACACGGTTGTTACCACCTATTCAGTGGGTCGACCACGTACCGAACTCTATTCTTCGCAAACTTTGCAGCTTTTCACGCTGTCATTCGCGAAACAGACGAGCAGTTACAGCTAACTTCGTTGTTGGTGACGAAATGAGAGCCAATTAGTGGGACGAGGCTCTGGTAGCCGTTGCAGGTGTCAGAGGGTGTGAGAGGGAGACTCCAATTCCAATCTGCTCCCATCAGATCTTCCTCCCGCTTTTCCTCCCTTCCAATGGCTGCCGCCGTCTTTGTTGCCAAAATACCCATTTCATTAGCCAACTAAATTGCGCTTTCGCCTTGCGTCCCGCCGAGCCGACAGCGCAACGTATCAAAGTGTTTAGTTTCCAACCCACGTCACGTATAGCCACCAATCCGGAAGCTTTTGGCCTCAGTTTTGATGGTTGGGGTTCGAATATTCCTGACGGCAGCTATCCTCCACCAATCCATAGAATTTCCGTTAGCCGTTGCAGTTTTTCGCGGTTCAAGTTCGATTAGATGAACGGACGCGATTTTTCGTACACTTTCGAAGGGACTCGAATTTTGGTAGCCGTGGGGTTGGTTTGTGGCACCAACTCAACGCTTTCGTGCTGCAGCCTCGTTCTGCCTCATTCTAGCCCGCCTGCTTCGCATTTTGTTGCCATTTTCACTCTCAGCTTCTCGGCTCAAACTTCTCCGTGCCAAAACGACGTAGTTCTCTTCTCAATACTGAGCGTTCTGTGGAGTTTACACGGCACTTTTGGGACAGAGTTGAACCAGATTTTGCTCGTAGAAGCCAGTCTTCGTTATTCGACGACATTCTTTACCGCATAGCGTCGAATAAGCGTGGAAATGTCGATTTTTTACGTCCATTTTATTACTTTCACGGGAACTTTCGGTTTCGACGTCGATTTACGCTGGTTGTCGCCAACCTCGGCTGTTACGCGTCGAACTTCGCGATTCCGGTAAAAATGGCTTTAGATCGGATAATTTATTCGTTGATTAGTCAGCTTCGCAATTCTCGGGAAAGCAGCTAATCGTGTGTCTCTCGCGACTTGCAGGCGAACGCACAACCATTTCAAGTCGTCCGACAATTCAATCCGCCATTTCTCGCATCGACGTCAACCTTGGCGACTTCGCCATCCGTTACACTCGTCACCAAGTAAGGAAGCTCTGGAGCGCGCTTTCTCTTCCGTGAAATCTTTGTGTTTTTATTCGCGATTTTCGTTTACCCAGCAATTCTAACTCCCTGTGTCGCCTGGCCTGGCAGGCGCACCATGGTGAGCGGCAATGGGTGGAGATGGAGCAGGCCAAGGCGGGGAGCATTGTGAAGCGAGAGCAAGCGGGCGTCATCAGGCTCTGCCACGCGCTGTTGGATGGCCGCCCTCCACTCCACCCATCACATCACCACGCAAGGTACTCCCCTCGCTTCCCTCCTCCTCTCGCCACCACCGCGTTTTCTGCTCTCGCTTTCCACTGCTCCAGTGGTGCTCTGCTCTCCATGTCCTGGTGCTCTCCTCGTCAGGCTGCTTCCGTCCTTCCATGTGCTGCTTGTCCCCTCTCAACCTAGCGGCCCCTCTGCGTCAATCTCCCTGCCTGCGCCGCCTCAATCTCCCACCAGATGCACGGCTATGAGGGCGGATGGGCGGACGGGCAAGCGGAGAGGCGAGGGAGGCAAGCAGCTGAGTGTCGTCCGCTCGCCTCGCCTCTACATGCAGCAGCAGCAGCCGTGCCTCCTCTCCACTCCACTCGCCTCTCACCCTCGCCACAGCTAAGTGCCCCACACTGCTCCTCGGCTCCTCGCTGCTCTCTGCCTTCCATTCCATGCTTGCACGCGCTTCCATGCTCGCTCCCTTGCTGCCGTGCGCCATCCCAGAGACCTCCCTCCCCCAAGGTACCAGGTATCTTTTCTTTTGGTACAGCCTCAGGAATTCATTTGACTTTGGTTCAGCCGGTACGAGGTCTCTTGGGTGTGCCACTGCAGCAGTCCATTCATGCACGCATCATTCTTGCAATTTCAGCACTCGACGCTCTCTCCTCATTCCTCTCCACACTGCCCTCCCGCCCCTGCCCTCCCTTCCCTCCCAGGCCGGCACAAGGGGAGGGCAGCAGGCGAGCAGCAGGCGAGGGGAGCACCAGGGCGGGCAGCAGGAGCGCGGGCAGCGGGGCAGCAGCACCGGTCTCATCAACGGTTGAGGTTGCAGTATCGCCCCTGCCACCACACTCCACTTGAGCCCACTCCCCCTCAGGTTCAGGTTCAGGTTCAGGTGCAGGTTCAGGTTGGTAGCGGCTCTTGTGGGGTTGTGGTTGGCGTCACATGCACTGTCGTTTCTGCTGTTGCACGTGTGTTTGACAGTTGTCTCCATTGCAACCCCTCTTACTTTCGGCTGCCTTTCCTTTCCGCCCTGCCCTCCCTGCCCTCCCATCGCTTCCCTGCCAGGCCTTCACAAGCCAGGGGGAGGGCAGCAGGCGAGCAGCAGGCGAGGGGAGCACCAGGGCGGGCAGCAGGAGCGCGGGCAGCGGGGCAGCAGCGCCGGCCTCATCAACGGTTGAGGTTGCAGTATCGCCCCTGCCACCACACTCCACTCGAGCCCACTCCCCCTCAGGTTCAGGTTCAGGTTCAGGTTCAGGTTCAGGTGCAGGTTCAGGTTGGTAGCGGCTCTTGTGGGGTTGTGGTTGGCGTCACATGCACTGTCGTTTCTGCTGTTGCACGTGTGTTTGACAGTTGTCTCCATTGCAACCCCTCTTACTTTCGGCTGCCTTTCCTTTCCGCCCTGCCCTCCCTGCCCTCCCATCGCTTCCCTGCCAGGCCTTCACAAGCCAGGGGGAGGGCAGCAGGCGAGCAGCAGGCGAGGGGAGCACCAGGGCGGGCAGCAGGAGCGCGGGCAGCGGGGCAGCAGCACCGGTCTCATCAACGGTTGAGGTTGCAGTATCGCCCCTGCCACCACACTCCACTTGAGCCCACTCCCCCTCAGGTTCAGGTTCAGGTGCAGGTTCAGGTTCAGGTGCAGGTTCAGGTTGGTAGCGGCTCTTGTGGGGTTGTGGTTGGCGTCACATGCACTGTCGTTTCTGCTGTTGCACGTGTGTTTGACAGTTGTCTCCATTGCAACCCCTCTTACTTTCGGCTGCCTTTCCTTTCCGCCCTGCCCTCCCTGCCCTCCCATCGCTTCCCTGCCAGGCCTTCACAAGCCAGGGGGAGGGCAGCAGGCGAGCAGCAGGCGAGGGGAGCACCAGGGCGGGCAGCAGGAGCGCGGGCAGCGGGGCAGCAGCGCCGGCCTCATCAACGGTTGAGGTTGCAGTATCGCCCCTGCCACCACACTCCACTCGAGCCCACTCCCCCTCAGGTTCAGGTTCAGGTTCAGGTTCAGGTTCAGGTGCAGGTTCAGGTTGGTAGCGGCTCTTGTGGGGTTGTGGTTGGCGTCACATGCACTGTCGTTTCTGCTGTTGCACGTGTGTTTGACACTTTTCTCCATTGCAACCCCTCTTACTTTAGGCGGCCTATCCTTTCCGCCCTGCCCTCCCGCCCATCCCTTCCCTGCCAGGCCTTCACAAGCCAGGGGGAGGGCAGCAGGCGAGCAGCAGGCGAGGGGAGCACCAGGGCGGGCAGCAGGAGCGCGGGCAGCGGGGCAGCAGCGCCGGCCTCATCAACGGTTGAGGTTGCAGTATCGCCCCTGCCACCACACTCCACTCGAGCCCACTCCCCCTCAGGTTCAGGTTCAGGTTCAGGTGCAGGTTCAGGTTCAGGTTGGTAGCGGCTCTTGTGGGGTTGTGGTTGGCGTCACATGCACTGTCGTTTCTGCTGTTGCACGTGTGTTTGACACTTTTCTCCATTGCAACCCCTCTTACTTTCGGCTGCCTTTCCTTTCCGCCCTGCCCTCCCTCCCATCCCTTCCCTGCCAGCCTTCACAAGCCAGTGGGAGGGCAGCAGGCGAGCAGCAGGCGAGGGGAGCACCAGGGCGGGCAGCAGGAGCGCGGGCAGCGGGGCAGCAGCGCCGGCCTCATCAACGGTTGAGGTTGCAGTATCGCCCCTGCCACCACACCCCACTCGAGCCCACTCCCCCTCAGGTTCAGGTTCAGGTTCAGGTTCAGGTGCAGGTGCAGGTTCAGGTTGGTAGCGGCTCTTGTGGGGTTGTGGTTGGCGTCACATGCACTGTCTTTTTTGCACTCACACTGCTGCCAGAGTCTTCTCGTTTAAAAGAGTCGCTTACTCCCACCTGCCTCTTACTCTCTCTACCTCTCTCCCTTCTCTGCCTTGCAGGTCCGTCCCTTCAAGCCCCTCTCGCCCTGCCTACTCTCCATTGAAGCACCCCCTCCGCCTGCACCACACAATCAGCTAAGTACCCGTCCCCCCTTGCCGGCACCCTTGCCTGCCATTCCATTTCTTTGGTTTCATCTGCTGTTGCTCCGTCTTCTTGAAACAATGCCACTGGTTGAGAACTGCTCACATGTTACAGACCCCCTGCTTCAGGTAATTCCCTCAGGTAACCCCTTCAGGTGCAGGTACACCCCTCGGGTTTGTTTTCAGGTGCCCTTGGGTCTGCAGCTTGTGGCCGTGCCTCAACCAGTGGCTCCTCCTCCCTTCCCTTGCGCTGGATTTCAAGTCACAGTTTCCCATTCAACTTGCTCCCACCACCGCGCTCTGACCACTGCTGTGTGTGCGCATTGCAGGTGGCGGGGAGGGGTGTGGGGTCAACACCGACGCTCCCTCACGCCCCTCCCCTGTGGCCGTGCAGGGGCGCACACAAGAAGGCTGGGAGGAGGGCTGCCGTGGAGGGAGGCAGCTGGTGGTGCTGCAGCTGCCTTGAGCTCGCCCTCACGCCACCAGCTAAGTAACCCTCCTCCATGCCCTTTCTTTGCATGTCATTTTGTTTGCTGGTTGTACGCTCTTCCCTTTGAAACAATGCCAGGTCCAGCGCGGTTCACATGCCACAGACCCCCACACTTCAGGTATCTCCTCAGGTAACCCCCTCAGGTGCAGGTCCCCCTCTCAGGTGCAGGTCCCCCCCAGGTGCAGGTTCCTTGGCGTCTGTGGCGTGTGGCCTTGCCTCAACCAGTGGCCCTCTTTCACATTTGGCAGTTCCGGTCTCTGGCTTGTGTTGTGCCCATGCCATGCATACTGACCACCGCCGTGTGTGTGCATGCAGGTGGAGGGGAGGGGCGCTGGGGTCAACACCGACGCTTCCCCACGCCCCTCCCCTGTGGCCGTGCAGGGACTCGTGGGGACGGGAGGGAGGCAGCACTGCAGCACGTGGGAGAGTATCGGGATGGGCTTGGCCTCTCAAGGTAAGCCTCTTTCCTCCCTTTGCCGCTGCACTGGTTTTCTGCTAACTTGCCCTCGCGCTCATCCCTTGATTCGCCCTTGCCTGTTTCGAGGCCTGCACTCACTCCCCTCCGGCCTTCCCTTCCGTTTCTGCCCCCCTCCAGGTCACTTGCAATGCAGCAGAGGCAGCTGACGGGACCAGTTGTGGCAGCATCAGCAGCGGGGAGCACGGATGCAGCAGGGGAGGGAGGGAGGGGGAAGGCGGCATCTCCAGGGAGGCGCCTCTTCAGCTTCCAGCTAAGTGCTTTCGCCTCCCTGGACTCACTCTTGCCTGCTGCTCACTTCTCATGCTGAACTACCCTCCCAACCTACCCCAGTTAAGTTTTCGCCCTCTACTTCTCCTACCATCTCTTTCATGTTCGTTTGCTTACCACGTTCATCCTTGCTGCATCTCTTGTTTTCTGTCTCTTCAAATGCAAGCCTCTTGTTGAGCCAAAGAATCAAGCCACAGACCCTTTTCTTGGGTAAATCCCCCCAGGTATTACAGGTATACTCTCAGTCTGCAGGTAACCCTCCCAGGTGTGTACCCCCCTTGGATCTGTGGCTTGTAGCTGAGGCTGCACCAGTGGCCCCCTTCTCTGCTCTCACCTGCCATCCCACCCCACCCAACCCACCCATGCACTCCTCTCACATTTCTACCCCTAGCAGCATACTCACTTCTCTTCGCTCTTCTCCTTTCCGTTGAGGGGAGGGGCGTGGGGGTCAACACCGCCGCTCCCTCGCGCTCCTCCCCTGTGGCTGTGCAGGTGGCAGTGGTGGGAGGGGAGGGGGGCAGCACTCCACTCGGCTGGGGTGGAGGGAGAGTATCGGGATTGGGTCGTCTGGAATACGGTGAGCCTCTTTCCCCTCTTGCCCTCATGCCGCTGCCTTGTTTCTCTAGATGCGCGCTTTACTTACTTTTCTTCCTCCTTCACGCTTCTGCCTGCCCTTGTCCCCATTCTCACTACTGTCCCTTGCTCCCTCTTGCCTCCCTCCCTCTCCCCTCCCTCCCAGTGCATGGAAGGCTGTAGCAGGGGTCAAGGGGGCAGCAGCAGGGGCAGTAGCGGAGGGGATGGGAGGGGGCAGCGGCAGCAGCAGGGGATGCAGAGTAGCAGACCGACACAGCAGCAGTATCAGCAGCAGACCGACAGCAGCAGTAGCAGCAGCAGAAGCGGCAGCAGCAGCAGCAGTAGGGGCTGGAGGGCAGGCTAGGTTAGATTTAGCTGAGGTATGGTACCAGGTGGTGAGGTGGTAAGGTGAGGCTGGGGTGG